AGTAATTCCTGAGTGCAGAGCCAGGAGTAACCCCTGAGCATTGCGAGTTGTGACCCAAAAAGCAAAATAAATGAATAAATAAATAAAAAACCCGTAATAGTATCTGAAAGTGCACGGCAAAGCCTGGCAAGCTACCTGTGATGTATTTGATAGGGCAAACACAGTAACAACAAGTCTCACAATTTGTTGTGAGACGTTACTGGTGCCTGCTCGAGCAAATCGATGAACAACGGGAGGACAGTGCTACAGTGTCTGAAAGTGAGCATGAATGTGACACATTTCGTGTATGTGAAAGGCTGTCAACGTGCCGGGAAAGGCTGGACTACATTTCCTAAGGTGTTTCCAGAAGCCGGACTGGAAACCCAAAGTGGAAATCGGGGCAGGGATGTGGTCTTCCGGAGCTGCGGTGACACAAACTCTGCCCCAGACCAGACACGTCCAGAGTCTGGAGTCCTCGTCGAATCCAGGCTCACAATGAAGGAACGTCAAGGCATTTCCAAAAAGAAGATTCACAATCAAGGAATAAACAGGCAGGCCAATGGCTACCAGGGCAGGAGTGCAGGCTTCACACAACGACGGTCTGGGTTCCAGTCCCAATACAAAAAGGAAAAATACTTCCTGCTACTAAGAATACATGCACAAACACACACACACACACACACACAAAATTAAAGTGTCAAAGTCATTATCAATCAGCCACACTGCGCTACTGAGCCAGGTGAAAGAAACCATGTACAAGTGGGGAGGGATAAATCCCACTCAAATGGTTGCATAGAAAACCCAGAACCACAGTCCCATCCTTACAACGACATTTAGAAACCCTCGGATGCGTCAGCCTGTCACAATGACTCTGGTTTCCTCCACGCAAACCCCACTCCTTCCCCCGGTAACCTCACTTGATACAAAACAGCGGCATCAAACTCTTAAAAAATATTCAACTGCAGCGTTTTTGATGTTCTGATAACTGGGATTTTCATTTCTGATGTTTTGGTAACAGGCTCCAGCAGAACAAGTCAAACTTTCATGAGGGATAAGCAATGAGGGCAGATGGAGGTGGGCATGCCTGCTAGAGGTACAAAAGTTGTAGATTCCCTCCACTCCTTCCCCTTATTCAAGACTCAACTAAATTCCACTTTTTTTCATTTGGTTTTGTTTTTGTGCCACCCCAGATGACGCTCCGGGACCATGTGCCTCGAATCCAGACCTCCTGCATGAAAGCAAATGCCCACCACGCTATTTCTCCACCCACTTTTCTTCTTCCGTCCTTCTGGAGGCGCAGGGACTGACCCCAGGCTGAGGCAAGCTCTCCGCTGCGGACCTCTTGCCCCAGCATCGGGCAGTGTCCTCAGTGAGTAGCGTCATAGCAGACTGCAACCACCAGGTGGCAGCACGAAAGCAAAGAAATGAGCCGAGAGAAAGCCACGCGTTTACTCTAGTCAAGAAAACGGGAGGAAGCATCCTAATAGCACGCTTCTGTAAATCTATAATCACAAGGGGGGAAAACCCTGTGTTTTAATGCCACTCGGGTTCCTTTAGGGAGATTGTGCTATTGTGTGACTACACCAGGAAGAAATTTACACCGCAGCTGCAATGTCTAATGTCTTTTTAAACATGCCAAGAGCCAAGACCAGAAGTCTTGGGGTTTAGCACATCTGCTGGCTCTTTCTTCAGGAAAAACTGTAAAGTAATACTCAAGGCTTTCTTTAAAAAAAAAAAAAAATGGGGGCTGGAGCGATAGCACAGCGGGTAGGGCATTTGCCTTGCATGCGGTTGGCCTGGGTCTGATTCCCAGCATCCCATAGGGTCCCCCGAACACCGCCAGGAGTAATTCCTGAGTGCATGAGTCAGGAGGAACCCCTGTGCATCACCGGGTGTGACCCAAAAAGCAAAAAAAAAAAAAAAAAAAAATTAAGTCCACATTTCAGAAGACACTGGTATTAAGCTAGTATATTCTAGCTTTCTCAAACTCTGACCCTGACTCGACAGAGGCAAAGAGAACCCCAGCTAGCAGACAGCAGAGAACAACCGTCATGGCAGAGAAGTGCAGGCCACAAAGTGACGGCCAGAGAAAGAGCAAACCCATAGAGAGGATGGGAGAGCGGCAGCCCACGGGCGTCCGAGCAGCACTGCAGGCCTCTCAGGCTCATTTCCACACGCGGCATCCACAGGAGGGTTCCCAGGGCCTTCCCAGACAGAATAAACCTTCATCAGCATTTACAGGCACTCAACACTCCCCCAGACGACTTACACTCCACTGGGGGTCCAGAGCTGACAGACAGGACACACAATCCACTGGAAAGAAGCACAGGCTAGGAAGAGGATATTCTCGCCAGCGTACACAGAAATCCCACCCCGCACCCCCCCCCCCCAAGAACTGACCAAAGCTCAGTTTAGAATCAGACATTTGAGAACTAATTTAGACCTCAACACTTTAAAAAGATCTAAGGAGAAAAGAAATGCGGTTCATTTAGAAGCAGGGAGGCAGGTTAAGGGGGCCCCTTGGCAATGAATTTTTGGAAGCCATAAAACCAATGTTTGGGAGCCAGTCAAAGCCAGCTCAGTCCCCAGGCCCCAACACAGCGGGAGACCACTCGCAGAACCCTCAGAAACAAAGAGTCCCAGGGGAAGATGGTGATGAAGATAAAGGACCCAGAGTCCAAAGTCCTAGGAGTCCCTCTTATCAGAGCCCCAAGCCACAGAAGCCTGGAAAGACCCATTATGTGTCAAAAGAACTTGCAAGTTGGGGCTGGAGCAATAGCACAGTGGGGAGGGCGTTTGCCTTGCATGCGGCAGACCCAGGTTTGCTTCCCAGCATCCCATATGGTCCCCAGAGCACTGCTAGGAGTAACTCCTGAGTGCTGAGCCAGGAGTAACCCCTGTGCATTGCCGGGTGTGACCCAAAAAGCCAAAAAAAAAAAACCCACAAAAAAACTCTCTGGCCTTCCAAGGATAGAGGAAAAACCTTTCACTCTCCAAAAGGCAAAAAAAAAAAAAACAACTTGCATGTTACTCCATACAGGCAGCTCCCCAATGCCCTATTCCGGGTAACTGGCCCTGGTGCTGGCCTCTAAGAGCAGGACATTTCATTTTCCTTAGGGGTTCTCGGGCTGGAACAAGCATAGCGGGTGGGTTGTTTGCCTTGCACATGGCCCACCCGGGTTCAATTCTTCCAAACCTCTCAGAGAGCCTAGCAAGCTACCGAGAGTATCCTGCCAGCAAGGCAGAGCCTGGCAAGCTCCCCGTGGAGAATTCGATAAGCCAAAAACACTAACAAGTCTCACAATAGAGACGTTACTGGTGTCCGCTTGAGCAAATCGATGAACAATGGGAGAACAGTGCTACATGTGAAAAACAGTAACAAGCCTCACAATGGAGATGTTACTGGTGCATGGATGAAAAATGGGAGGACAGTGCTACAGTGCTAGGGGGTTCTCATCCCCCCCCCCCCCCCCCCCGCCCCACTTTTCCCTTAATAAAACGATTCTGCTTCTCTGAAATTCTTTTCTGTGTGACAAAGTACCTGATCCGTGTGAAGGTTGGGAGCTTCTTTCCCTGTGAAAATCCTAACTTAGCCTCAGCCTGGGAACCAAGGTTCCTGGCCATGCAGGTGGTAAGGACCAGGCCCTTACCCAGGTGTGGCTGGACCACCGCCTCCTGGACGCAGGCAGGACCCTAGTGTCCACATTGGGGAGGAGCTTGTGCAACTTGGGCAGTTGGAGGGGGCTGTGGGGAGCCTCAAAAGAGCGCCACTGACCTTGCCGGAACCACCCAGTCTCTCCCGTGCAGTGTCTCAGGGAGGGGGTTGTGAACCAGTCCCACCCACAGTCCTCAAACCCCACCAAAGGGTCATTCGTGTGGGAACTGGTAACCCAACGGAGACTTCAGAGCAATGATATCAGGCAGGGCAATGGGCTGCTCTTTGCAATGAATGGTCCTGGATGACTGGTGGGGGGTAAAAATGGTGGGGGGGGGGAGAAAAGGAATGACCCACCCCAAATTGGAATGTGAGCAACCTCAGAATCAGGGAGAGGAGGAGAGCAAGAGAAGGAAGGGACCCACGCCCGGTTAGAGTGTGGGGAGCCCAGCCTGGGAATACCCTGCACCTGGCTGTGCAAAGTTGGCTTTCTGAGCTTTCTTCCCAAACTGCCCAGTCTTACGGGTTCTAAGTAGATAAAAAGAGTTCGCTGCGGGGCTGGAGCAATAGCACAGCGGGTAGGGCGTTTGCCTTGCAGCGGCCGACCCGGGTTCGATTCCCAGCATCCCATAGGGTCCCCTGAGCACCGCCAGGAGTGATTCCTGAGTGCATGTTCCAGGAGGAACCCCTGTGCATCGCCGGGTGTGACCCAAAAAGCAAAAAAAAAAAAAAAAGGGTTCGCTGCTAGGGTGTGGGCAGGGGAAGGACTTTGGACTTTGGATGGCCTTCTTTCACAGGCTCGGAAGGGTCTTGCGTCCCAGCCCGGGCTTCTCCCCCCACCCCTCCTTTGGGGTCCAGCCTTCCCTGCGCCGGGCCGGCATCCCTCGGCCTTGATGCTCTGGGCTGCCTTGGGGCTGATGCCAGGAACCCCTCCCTACACCCCCGTCCTGGCTGGATCACTCCCCTCGACACCGCCAGCCCCTCCCCCGCGACCCCCAGCAGCCCTGCCCTCCCCAGACCCTCACCCCAGCGGGCAAGAGTCGGAAAGCGACGAGCCCGGGCGGCGCTGCCCGCGGCTCCCGCTCCCGCACGACGGCGGGACACGCCTCCAGCCCCGGGTGCCGAGGTCCCCGGTCGCAGCCTCGAGCAGCCCCGGCGATCACAAGCCAAGCACGCGGGGGCCCCGCGAGCCCGAAGTGGTGCTCGGGGGACCCAAATGAGATCCAGCGCCCGCCCGACCGCCGCAGACGCGCGCTGGAGGCAGGGGGCTCCCCCGCCCGTCCCCGCCTCCCGCGCGCAAGCCCCGAGCGCCCCGACAGCCGCGCGCGCGAGCACACCCCGGGGAGGGGGGCGCCCCCCGACTCACCCGGACGCCGGGCCCGCCGGGCGCCTGCAGCCGAGCCGGGACGGCGCGATCGGTGCAGACCCGCCGAGCCCCGGCCGAGACGCCGCTCGGGGCGCATGCGCGGGCGCGCCCAAGTACGGCGGCCGCGAGGGGCCGCGGCGGAGGCGGCGGCGGCGCGCCCCGTGCGGGAGGGGCCTTCCGAAGGGGGCGGGGCTAGGATGGGCTGGGGCGGGGCTAGGGGCGAGGCTAAGGTGGAGCTGGGGCGGGGCGGGGCTAAGGCGGAGCTCGGGGCGGGGCCCGGGGCGGGGCTCGGAGCGGCGGCCGCGACCATTGGCGGCTTTGAAGGCGCAGCGGGCGCCAACGGCGGACTGAGGAGCGACGCTGAGGGCCACGAGAGCGGGTAAGAGGCTCCCGAGGCGGCCGGGCACCTGGCGGACGGAAGTCGCAGTCCACACCTCGGGGGCGGCGGGGGCGCGGCGGCCGCACGGACCCGGGGCGCGGGTTCGGCACTGGGTTCGGGGGCGCGGCGGGGAGTGACAGCGACGGCGGCGGCAGAGGCCGCCCGGGGTGGGGGGGTGGGGGAAGTGGGTGACGTCACTTCCGCCTCCCGCGTGCGCATGCTTGGAGCCGCCGGCGTTCACGTGACGGCCACGCCTCCCCACGGGCTTCCGGCGGCCGCTCCTTGGCGGCGCGTTCGCTGCTCTTGTTTGTGTTTCGTCGCCCCCCGAGACGGGTTTTAAGTTTGCGCGGCCTGACGTGCCTTGTTGCGGCTCGCGAGCGGCGCCGATCCAAAGGAAGCTTCGGGTTCTATTTGTTGCCCCCGCTGCGATATCCGGGAGGCACGCTCGGCGGCGGTGCTCGGTTGCTGGGCGCGGGTGGGGGGTCCCCCGTCTGCCGCGCCCCCGGGCCGCCGTCTGGGGCCCTTCGGCCTGCACCACTCGGCCCCTGAGCCACACCCCGCCCCGCCTGCACTTGGGTTCCTGTTGCTGCTCTTTGGCTCCACGGGCCCCGCCCCTCCCCCGCCTTCACCCAGAGGCGCTCCGGGCGCCCCAGGGTCTCGGCCGGCGGTTCTTGGGGGGGCTTCCACGTGTAAGGCGTGACCCCCGCCTCTTTATTTTGTTTTTGTTTTGTTTCTGGTTTTTTTGCTTTTGGGGTCACGCCCGTCGATGCTCAGGGGGTTCCTCCTGGCTCCGCACTCAGAAATTACTCCTGGCGGTGGTGCTCGGGGGACCCAAATGAGATGCGGGGAGTCGAACCCGGCCGAGCGCCCTCCCCGCCGTGCGGTCGCTCCAGCCCCGACCCCGTCTCTTTAGCCACGTCCTTGCCATGTGCCACCCCCGGCGTTTCCGACCGGAGAGGTCGCCTTGCTGTTTGGCGGGCTTGAGTCCTAAACCTTCCTGCTGGTGGGGCCTACAAGCTCCACGCCCCCCCCCCCCAGGAGCTCAGTAAGGTTTGAAATAAAGAGACCAGTAAGTGGGGCGGGGGCATTCACATCTCCCGCACCTAAGGGTCCCCAGAGCCTGCCGGGTGAGTCCTCAGAGCAGAGCCAGGAGTAAGCCCTGAAAGCAAAGAGAAATGCATAAGCCAGACAAGCCACCTCGTTCTATAAAGACAAGAAGCCGGTGGGAGTAACCTTAGAGTGGGAGGTTAGAGTCCTCCTCTGAGCTGCAGTTCCCAGCTCCTGTGCAGGGAGGAAAATCCTCCATGCGGTGGTAGCTGCAGAGCCCTTTCCTAGAGAGGTGCCGGGCTGGGACCACCAAGGAGAGCTGGAGGTGGGGAAAGAGGGAAGCCCCCAGGTGCGAGAACGTGCAGGCTGTGGAAGCTTTCAGCCCTGGCATGAAGGAAGGTGGGGCTGGCTTCGGGACATGGGAGCAAGTCAGGCCCAAGTCTCATGATCCTGTTTCAGTTCCCATAGTTTAAGTTCAGTGAATTTTTTTTTTCTAAATAACTCCTGCCGCACACATGAAGGTACTGGCAGAGGGACAAACCCACGCGGGTTCCGGGGCCGAGATCTCCCAGCCTACTCGGATTGGAGTCGAGCATCCTCCACCCAGATCCTCCAAATTCCAGTAGACGGGGGTCACACCCACCACCTGGCCCCCTGATGCTGTGTAATCCCATCAGCGGCCAAGACTCAGAGACTATAAAATCCAGCTCCTGGAACCGCGCAGCCGCATTTGCGGCCGCGACATCTTATCAGGACATCTTTTTATGACATCTTATTATCTCATTCCTACTTTGGACAAACTTGCAGGCTATCGAATGTAGCCTGCCCACGGGGCAGAGTCTGGCAAACTCCCCGTGGCGTACCCAATATGCCAAATACCAGTAACAATGATGGGTCTCATTCTCCTAAAGAGCCTTGAATATAATCTCAGGGTTAGGATGAAAGAGACGTTACTGGGTTACTGGGGTCTGCTCAAGGCAATCGACGAATAACAGGATGATGAAATGAAATGAAAAAATGAACTCCTGCCATTCCTGTTTGTCTGTTCGTTCACTTGTTAAGGATCACTTCACAACTTTGTATATGATCGTGTCTGAGAGCCACACTGATCTCTGTTATCTTTCTAAGTTTAACACGTGTTGCCCCCGAGAGCACTCCTACGACTCCTGTTTATTTCCAACTACTGTTTTCAGTCTATTTTATTTAAAAAATATAGTCAAGTCCCCATTTGATCCCCATTAGGTGCATGTCCCCTAAGCACCACCAGGGGTCACTCGTGAGCACAGAGCCCAGTGAGCTCCCTCTCTTTCATAATTGAATCATAGTAAGTCGTGCAGTTCCTCTGTGTTCACGAAATCGGGCTGCTTTCCCACCCCCGATGGCTGACGGCAGTAAACGAGAGGAGGAGGAAATGGGGCCCAGGCTGGTTGGTGATCAGTTGTCGTTTACTCCAAAGTTGTCTCCTTCCAGTCTCTTAACTGCCTGTGTTCCCCCACTCTCAGCCCACTCTCGCAGCCCGGTTACGTAGAACATTCACCAAGAGTTGGGGGCAGCAACTGCACATAGGTGAGAGAGCACAATCGACATATGAAAAGGCCCTTCCTTCCGGGGAAGCTCTTCTAAGACAGAGGTCTCATCCTGCTAGGAGATCTCTCAAGTTTCATCTGAGAGGTAATTCTCCTTTCCTTCGGCTCTGTGCATTTAAGTGGTCGTCTTAAATTCACTTCCTAGTCATTCTGTGGGCTAGACACAGAGACACATGAAGCTTGTAGGGTGGCTCTCCTGGGTATTTCTCGCTGTAGATCCCAGACTACAGACCTCAGGCCAGATTAGCATTTCCTAACCCCAGCAGGGTCCTTATCCGGCTACTCTTTTTTGGGTCATGACAGAATTTGTCCATGACTGTGCTCTTAACTTATCGTAACTTACTTGCTTAACCTATAATGAGCCAGCTTACAGCTTGCCTGGGGTCCATCCAAGTCCCTTCATCGGGACCCTGCTTTGAGGGTGCTAGGAACTAAGGGCAGCTGAGGTTTAAGGCGAGTAAATAGGACAGGTGCCCAGGAGTAAATATTATTCGAAGTCAGTTGACTCCCGGGTCACAAGAGCATAGCATTAGCTGTCTTCCGGTGTCTACACAACAAGGACATTGCTCTCAGGTAAACTATGCAAAGGACATAAGGAAAAGAGAAAGGTGATATTTAGCTTACAAATACAAAATGTAGATCTCTGAAGAATCTGACTTTACAAGTCACAGGTTCTGATTAGGGGAAATGAGCGATTAACAGGCAGGGGAAGCAGAGCACAGAGAAGTTAAGGATGTATCTACCAAGGAAATCGAGCGCTTCAGAGCATTGTAACGGGTGTGACTCTGTAAACCCAAGCTCCTTGCTGCGGAGGAGAAAGGACAAAAGGACAAGCCCCTGTTATCTGATGTCCCCAGATTTCCCCCCCCCCCACCTCTGTGGCAGGCACTTTCTCTCTCTCCCTTTCCCTCTCTCCCCCCCATATGCCCCCCCCCTCCAACTTAATCCTGTATCTTTTAAGTGTAAATGATATGCAGTGTTCAGAAACACTCAGACAGTTCTGAAAAAGTCATGGAGGGGACGCTTGTAGGGGTGACCCCTCAGAGCTTGGAAACCGCACAGTCCTCGTGGAAGTGAGTGACAGAGACCGGCCGACTTCCACTTCTTGTCCTCAGTGCAGTTTTCAAGGTGTTCATGCTCTTTCCTAGAAAATAAGTTGTCAATGGGGCTGGAGTGATAGCACGGCAGGTAGGGTGTTTCCCTTGCACGCGGCAGACCCAGGTTCGATTCCCAGGATCCCATATAAGAAAGAAAGAAAGAAAGAAAGAAAGAAAGAAAGAAAGAAAGAAAGAAAGAAAGAAAATAAGTTGTCAAAGGAATTTGAAGTCTGCAGATAGCCTGTTCGGTCTTGCTTTAGAAATGGTGCTTGTTTGCTTTTTCTGTTCCATCCGGGTCTTTAGAGGGAGGAGCTTCCCAGCAGTGCTCAGGAGACCCCCGGCCCCCCTGGGTGTCTTCAGCCCTCCAGGCCTGCAGCTCAGTGCAAGGGCTGAGGTTGCGGTGCTGGGGCTTCCCCAGACCACCCAGTGGTGCCCAAAGGTCCGTCCTGGAATGTGAAGGAGAGGGATGCCTGTCCGTGTCCCCAGACGAGGTGCGAAGCTGAGACCAGCTGTCACCCTTAGCCCGCAACCTCCCCCGAGGGAGGGGTGGAAGGGGCAGCGCCCCCTTCTCCAAGGCCTGCGGCAGAGGGCCACGCCAGACCCAGGACCTTGGAAGGCTCCCCTGTGGGCGGAGTGGGCTGCAGCCTCACTGTGTGCTCTGGACTTGGCACTCGGTCACCAGCACTCCCGGCAGTGGCTGGTATTCTGGGTTCACTGACAGCCGCGTGCTCGAGACACCAGCTCTGTAGCCCTCGCCTCCCGTGGAGCGTAACAGCTCATCTCAAACGGTTTTGCCGGTGGCTCCCGATCTCCTGGTCGCCTGGAAAATCCTCGGCGTCCTCGGACTCCTTACTCTCACACCCCACGTCTAGTCCCGGGGAAACCCCGTGGGTGCTGAGGACACGCTGGCCCTCCACCTCGGCCCACCGGTCTCTCCCCTGCATGTCTGCCGTGGCCTCAGGTCTCAGCACACCGGAGGGTGGTCCCGGCAGGAGCGTGCACCCTGCCTTGCTCCCAGCTGGAACCGGCTGGCGAAAGGCATGCTCCTGCAGCCTGCCTGGAACAGCCCCCTCGCTCCCCATCCCGTCACAGGGCACCGGTCACCTTCCGCCTCCTGGCCGGGTCCAGCCCTCCTCACGGGCTCCATGTCCACTGTCCTGGCGCCTTCTCTCCAGCGCTCTCCTCTTTGAACTTGTCTGAGGATGTTGCTGTGGCCTCTCCCCCTTAGGACAGACACTCCTAAGTGGCAGGGGGTGTCCCTCGTCAGAATGTATCTATGCCCTGCAAAGTATCCGGCAGGCCAGGGTTGAGTATGACTCAGTAACCAAATGCATTATTCGTGTGGCCTTGTCCTCCAAAGGCCAAAACACCTTAGCCAAAAATAGGCAGAAATTTGCTACAGTTTTTTTTTTCTTTTTGGGTCACACCCAGCGATGCTCAGGGGTTACTCCTGGCTGTCCTGGGGGAATATATGGGATGCTGGGAATTGAACCTGGATTGGCGGCGTGCAAGGCCTTACCCGCTGTGCTATCGCTCCAGCCCCGTCTCTGAGTAGACCAGAGGAAGGAAGCAGTTGGAACACGATTTGCAGAATGCCCGGGGGGAAAAAAAAGATGATATTTGGGTATTTGACTTGTAACTCGTAATCATGGCTAAAATTCTGTTGCTGGAAAACTCACAGGTCAACTTGTACATTTGCTAAGTACTTGATCGTGCTCCTTTTTCTTTTTCTTCATCAAAGTGCCAGAAAGATGGATGAGACTCTCGCCGAGTTTCTCAGGAGGATCCTCTGGAAAATCCCCATAATTGAAATGATGCCTGTCCTAAAAGCCTGGGATTATTTGTCTGAAAATCAGCTACAGTCCTTAAACTTACGGCAGAGAAAAGAACTGCTCATCCAGGACGTGGTTCTGCTTTGTGAGGTAGTGATGCTCTCGGTGACTCGCCTGGGACAGCCGGGTTTCCCTTCTTGCCTGCAACCCTGTGAGACGCTAGCTGTAGTAGGGAAGAAACGATTTTTTTTTTTTTTTTGGCTTTTGGGTCACACCTGTCAGTACTCAGGAGGTTACTCCTGGCTCTGAACTCAGGAATTTTTCCTGGAAATGCTTGCGGGGGACCATACAGGATGCGGGGGGATAACCTGGGTCGGCCGTGTGCCAGGCAAACGCCCTCCCCGCTGTACTATCACTCCAGTCCAAGAAACGAATTTTTAATTGACTTTCTCAATTTACAAAGCATGCTTCCAAATCAGTAAGGGGAAAAGTAAATATCAGGGAATAAAAAATACATATATATATGAGAGAAATGGGAATTTTTATTCTTTATCTCGTAACAGCTTTATTGATTTTTTGAGAAACAGAAAGATAATTTAGGGGCTTGAGCACAGGTACAGCAGGTCGGACACTTGCCGTGCACGATGCTGACCAGGGTTTGATCCCCGGTACCCCGTCTGGTCTCCTGAATACTGCCAGATGTGGCCCCCCCAAACCAAATCAAACAGAAATCTTAAATGACACTTTATTTTTGTGGCTGTTGTGGTCGCCACACTCAGCATGTCACTGTGTCACAGGGGTGGAGCCCAGGGCCTCACACATGTAAGATGCTCTGCCCCATCATCTGCACCCAGGCTCCCACATTTCCCTGGTAAATCCGCTCAATAAAGCACCTACCCGAGGGAAAGGGCATGGCTGAGCGCAGGCCTTGGGTGCAGGAGAGCCAGTCTTGTCCCTGGCACTAGCAGCATTCAGCCCGGGTAAGCGCGGAAACACTGCCAGATGGGGCCCAAAAGTTTATTTTAATTTTTTTTAACTTTTTTTTAATTGACTTATAGATACACAGTTGCAAAGTTATTCATGATTGGGTTTCAGTCACACAGTGTTCCAACACCCCTCCCTTCACCGATGCCTTGTATCTGTTTTGTTTTGGTTTTTTTTTTGCATTTTGGGTCACACCCTGTGATGTTCAGGGGTCACTCCTGGATCATGCACTCAGGAATCACTCCTGGCAGTGCTCAAGGGAACATATGGGATGCTGGGAATCGAACCCGGGCCGGCCACGTGCAAGGCAAATGCCCTACCCGCTGTGCTATCGCTCCAGCCCCATACATTTTTTGTTTTAAATGCTTCTGTGAAGCAGAGTGAAAAATGACGAGGGGTATGGTTTGTGGGAGGTGGGCTGGGTGTGCCAGTCCGGATCCAGGGGTCCGTTCCTTAGGGGCTGTAGGTTGCCGGGTCCCAGCAGAGCTCATGCAGGCGTTCAGCTGGCCCACACAGCAGACTGAGAACCTGCTGTGCAGGGGCTGGGGGCAGACCTCCTTATTCACCGCACTTACGTCACGATCGCTCTTCTCTTTCAGAAGGAGCAGGCCAATCTCGAAGATGCCACCCTTCTAGACCTGACTTGTAAGTCCTGGTGACTCAGTTTCCCCTCTGACCACCCGCTTCTCTCATCCGTCCGCATCGCATCTCCGCGGGCTCCTGCCCACAGGGTCGTTCTTTCCCCTCTGAGTCGCCGCCCCGCCTTCGTTCCTCCCTGGGGGCAGGCACCGCTGTGTGGTACCTCTGCGAGTCGTCCTGGTGAGAGTGTCACGGACGATCGGGGCCAGGGGCCTGTTGAGGACTTGGCACAAGGCCCGGGTTTTCCTGATTCCCCAGCGCCGCTCTCTGCTGCTCCTTTCTGGGACCTGAACACGGAGCAGGAATGTCTCTGCGCTGCCCGACACTGGCAGACCCAGATGTTTTCAGAGCCTCTGCGCTGCTGGACACAGTTGGTCTCATTCCCAGCCTTATTTTCGGTGGTGTATGGGCTCTAGAAGGGGGGCGGAGAGTCCCTGTTGCCCATGGGCGAACTCACACGGTTCCCAAGGCCCTGGTGAGCCCCCGGTTGGACTCGACTCTCCTGAGAGGACACAGGCTATGGGGGAGATGGACGAGCGGCCGCACAAATGCCTGTGCGCCTCGGAGGAGGGAGAGGCAGGTCTCTGAACCACCAGAGCTGGGGCTTAGGAAACGCTCCTGGGAGGTGACACCGCTGAGGACCAGTGGCTACAGTGACTGCAAGGGACTGAGGGGCAGGGGCGAAAGGGCCAAGTCCAAGGGCAGGTGTCCAAGTGGGAGAGCACAGACCCAGGAGCAGGAAGGAGAGAGGAAACTGTGACGGAGAGGGCAGTGACCATCTGGAGGACATCAGTTCTCATTCTAGCCAGAGGCCAGGCCTGAGGAGGAGGAGGAGGAGGAGGAGGAGGAGGAGAGCAGGAAGGAAGGGGAGCAGGCTCACCCCCCTGCACGGCCTCGGCCCGATCACCCAGCAGGGAGTCGCCCCTGGGTGCTACCAGGCATGTCCCCAAAAGCAGAAAGAGGAAAAGAAGAAGGATTACGGTCTTGGTTTGTCTGCTTTGTTGCTGTTTTGTTTTGTTTGGGGGCCATACCCAGCAATGCTCCCGGGTGACTCCTGGCTCTGTACTTAGGAATTGCTCCTGGAGGGGTTTAGGGGACCGTGTGGGATGCCAGGGATCGAATCCGTGTGTGTTGCACCCAGGGCAAACGCCCTACCTGCTGTGCTATCTCTCCAGCCCTGAGTCTGGTTGTTCAAAGGCAGATGGGAGAGGGGGGTCTGTTGGAGTGGGAGGAACAGGCCAGGAGGATGGACTCCTGTGGGAGTTGGGGGTGGGGGGAGGAGGTGCAGGAACCTTTAGGTCGTGCAGATCAGCCTCGCACAGGGGTACCAGGATCCTGGACTATCCAGGACACGGTCGCTTGGAGGAAAGTCGCCATCCGTGTTTCCCTCTTTGTTTTTCCCTTTTTTCTCTCTTTTTCTTTTGGGTGCTCCCCAGTAGTATTGGGGGGCTGTGCAGTGCCAGGGCTCCCCCATCCAGAGCTGGACCTCCTCTGCCCTCCCTTGGCTCTGACCCCCTAGCTGCCTGCTACCTGTCGCATCACAGTGATGTTCATTGGCCTCACCACGACAAAAGGTTTCCATTCCCATCGTTACTGCCACAACCTTATAGACATCAGCCCTGAAACACAGAACCAGAGAACATAGTAGAAAGAAACTAAACTCCTCTGGATGCCTTCTCTTGGCCAGGCACCTCTGGGCCCGATGGCATCGATTTTAACATCACCAGGTTCTCCGGAGCTGCCGGGCTTGAAGGTGGCCCGATACTGCGCGTCAGGGGGGGCTTGCGTGACAGAGTGGGCCCCCTGCAGAGCTGGCATTGTAGTGGGGAGCAGAGCAGGGCCCACAGCCCCTGGGAGAATGTTGGGGAGAGGGGAGCAGGCCCGGGAAGAGGACTCGGGGAGCACTCGTGCCCGGCAGCTGGGGAAGGACGGTGCTCCGTGAGGGCGCAGAGGCCTCGGAAACTGCTTCGAGGTGCAGTCACTCCTGGTGGGAGTCAGTTTAACCCGCATGAAGTGTACGTTTCGGTTTCTAAAGATCTATGGTGCCTGATTTGTGAATCGCTGTTACTCTTTGAGCACAGTACTTGCTGAAAGGTCTGTAATGAAACAGTGATGATCTCTCTTTCCTTCCCATAGATACTCAGTTACATCAGCATCAGAAAGTCTGGGATGTGTTTCAGATGACTAGATTGCCAGGTAATGGTTTCCACTTTATTTTATTTATTTATTTATTTTTGCTGTTTGGGTCGCAGCCGGAGATGCTCATGGGTTACTCTTGGCTCTGCACTCAGGAATTACTCCTGGCAGTGCTCGGGGGACCATGTGGGATGCTGGGAATTGAACCTGGGTCAGCCACGTGCAAGGCAAATGCCCTACCCGCTGTGCTCTCACTCCAGCCCCTCCACTTTATTTCAGTGTTTTCCATTTAAATGGAACGTGTGTGTTTGATATTTTCGTAATTTTGTCTGTTGGGGAGGGTGTTTTGTTTTGGGGCCACACCAGCTTTCGCCTGTCTCTGTGCGTAGGAATAACTCCTGCCGGGCTTAGGGGGCTGGAACCCAGGTCAGTCACGTGCAAGGCGATCACCCCGCCCGCTGTACTATCACTCCTGCTCTTATTTTCACAATTGTAAAACGAAGAGCAGATTATTTCACCTATAAAAGTGTTTCTCAAATGAAACGAATTGCAGCATATTCCTCTTAGATCTTTCCTTCCACAAGGGGGCAAATGCCTCACCCATGGGAATGTGAGAAGCGGAGTGTGTGTGTGGGGACTGGGGAGGTGGCGATCTGAGGCCTCCTGAGGCCTTGCGCGTATTGTTCTGGGGTCCGGGCAGGCGCTCCTGGGCAGACCTTGTGTCTATGGGGCACTGAGCACACAGAAACGCTCCTCTGGGCTGCTTGCAGACATCTCTGCCGAAGATGTGATTTGCCTGGACTTTCACTTTGACAGGGGACGACAGCGATGACCTCTTTGATGTGGAACAGTTCAAACAGTCATTCAAGAGAATTCTCCGGAGAGCGTTAAAGAACGTAAGGGTGAAATGTGGGCATCTCCTGAGGGTCCGTGCCCTGCACCTGGGCACCTGACCTGCCCGCAGCTGCTGTGCCAGGTGTTTGGCTGAAAGTCGCCACCAGCGACCACATTCCACACTCTTCCCTTCCGGTCAGGGACTGGCCTGGACTCCTACGGGAGCTTTCCCTCCTCTGCCTCTCACTGCGAGCTGGAGGAATGTGACTTTTCAGCACAAGCCCAGGAAGTCACTAGAAAATCTTGTTGTCTTATTCTGATTGTAGATATTTGCTTTTTTTTTTTTCCCTCTCTCATCTGAAATTATCTTCAGAACCTCTCTGTTTTTTTTTTTTTTTGGCGGGGGACAGGGGGGCGCACCTGGTGATGCTCAGGGATTACTCCTGGCTCTGCACTCAGGAATTACTCCTGGCGGTGCTCAGGGGGACCATATGGGATGCTGGGCATCAAACCCAGGTTAGCCGCGTGCAAGGCAAATGCCCTCCCCGCTGTGGTATCACTCCAGCCCAGAACCTCTATGTTTTTAACGAACCACAAAATATTTCCCCGGAGCTGCCCCCCAGTGCGGAATTGAAAAGTCGATGCCCCCCCCCCTTTGCGTCTGTGAGCAAGAACCCAGGTCTGGGCTTTGCCCCAGAGCTGCCACCAGCGGGATTTTCACCAGGGAACGCCAATCTCCTTTGGCTCAGGTGACGGTCAGCTTCAAGGATGCGGAAGAGAACGCGCTTTGGATTCGAATCGCCTGGGGAAGCCAGTACAAACAGCCGAACCAGTACAACCCCACGTTCGTGGTCTACCACGCCCAGACTCGCTACGCGTTCGTGTCCTCCTCCCGGCTGAAGAGCATCTCGTCCCTGCTGGGCCAGGTAAGGGCCCCTGCCCCTGGACGCTCTCACGTGTGATTGTCCTCGTCGCAGAGGCTTCTGGTGGCTCAAACAGCTGCACGAGCACGAGACGGAGAACCCCTTCTCTCACCCCCTACCCCACCCTGCCTCTCCTCCATCGACGGGATTGGCCGTGCTCTCTGGTCGTGGTGCCGGAACATGTGTGTCTGGGCGACGTGGAGTGCCACCGCCTTGTGGCTGCAGAGGTCGGTCACGCACGGAGCGGTGCTAGGATTGGATGCGAGGCCTTGCCACTGAACCACGTCCCTGGGCCCGCACACGGTGCTGGATCTCGTCATTTCTCAGGGTTCGGGGGCGCTCAGAGTCAGCTGGGGGCTCTCTGCCGTTGGCTCTTCCTCCAGAAGCAGTGCTCCCCTCTTGTACGAAAGGCAACTGACGTAGAAGTCCCCAGGGCCTTTGCAAACCCCCTCTCCTACCTCCCAGCCATTTGCCCACGATAACTACAGTGAGAAGTCTTTGCTTTGGGGGGTGGGGGTGGGGTGTTTTATGCACAAAGCAGGGCGGTGCTCTGTGCCTGTAACCTGCTGTTCCAACTTAACAGAACCCCGGAGCCCCCCGTGTGAGTATATCTGAATACTCCGTGGGTGAAGGAAGGGCGTTTGGGGCATTGGGTCACACCTGGCAGTGTGCTCAGGGATCAGTTTCTCCTGGCTCTGTGTTCAGGGGTCACTCCTGGCACTGCTCGGGGATCATAGGACGTGCCGGGAATCGAACCCGGGTTGGCAGCATTCAAAGCAAGCACCTCACCCGCCACGTGATCCCTCTGGCCCCAGAGCAAAGGCTTGGCCCGCGGCCACTAGCATCAGGTGGAGTCCCCACTCGGAGTCGGCTTCTCTGGCTGATTCTCCCTCGGGACCACAGGGCTCCTCGCCACCGGGGCTGGTGGCTGCTGCCCCCACACCCCTCACAGCTGCCGTGGTGCCCAGGGGACTCCTGAGCCAGTGCTCAGCGTACAGGCAGGGGGCAGCTCCGCTGCCACTGGAACCCCTGACTCTTCCCTGAGCAGAGACTTCCTGCTGCCCCTCATTTCCGCTTCCTCCCGCGCCCACCGTGCCTGGCGTCTCTCTTCCTCCCCGATATGGAAGGTCATTTGTCCTTCCTCAGCCAGCAAGGTCCACCCTGCCACCGTTAGTGCCAGCATGATTCCTCCTCCCCCAAATAATGGCTACTGTCTTGTGTGTCGAAGGCAGCCCCCTCTGCTCTCTAGCCCCGGGCACGGATCTTTTTCTAGGACTGTTACTCGGTGTCCCTGCCTGATAACCAGCTTAAGTCACACTCAGATTGTCCCTTCACTGTTTGTGGCAAAACGGACGTGTCTGTACTTTGGCGTGGCGGTGTCACGGTGTTGTTAGATGCATTCGGGCAGGCACCACCCCTGGCTGGCTGTGGGGACTGTATACAGGCCCAGGAATTGGGGCTGGGGATCAAATCCCGATTGTGCATGGAGGGCATGTGACCACTCCATCATCCTCCCGGCCCCCTATAACTCCCAGCTTTAGATGCGATCCCTTTGCGCTTTCGAAGAACGGTATCAAGGACCTTACATTAATGAGATGCTTTTTTTTGGGGGGGGGAGGGGGCGTGTCACACCCAGCGATGCTCAGGGGTTAAGTCCCGGCTCTGCACTCAGGAATTACTCCTGGCGGTGCTCGGGGGACCATATGGGATGCCGAGGAGCAAACCCGGGTGAGCCGCGTGCAAGACAAACGCCCTCCCCACTGTGCTATCATTCCGGCCCAATGAGACGCTTAAATGTCAGTCCCGCACGACAAAGCCTTGGCAAGCTCCCCTTGGCATTCAATATGGCAAACACAGTAACAAGTCTCCCAATGGAGAAGTTACTGGGCCCACTCAAGCAAATCGATGAACGATGGGAGGACAGTGACAGTGACCATGTTGTATACTTTGAATGCCCAGGTTGTATTTTTCTGCCTCTCTTGCGCTTTTTAAGTTGACGCTGGAACAGCTCCTGGTTTTGCTTGGTCGGGACCTAAAACTCTGGACCGGTAACTCTCATCATGTTGCTTCTTTTCACCAGGCCCTGGTGGTCGCTAGCAAGCACCATCAGATTGTGAAGATGGACCTTCGGAGCAGATACCTGGCCTCTCTGAAGGCCATCGTCTTCAAGCAGTACAATCAGGTGAGCTCCGTGGGGACTCGCCCGTGCCCGGGTCCTCCTCAGGCCGGTGGCGCTGGGGCAGCATCCAGCCTGTCAGTCACCGTGAACGGAAGCCAAGTGGGCTTTGATCATCTTCCTGTGATGTGCTGCTTCTGCTCGGTAGTCACCAGAGTCCTGGACGTGTGAGTCCAGCTCTGCGTGAGCTGTCCCCCCAGACTCTGTCTCCGGAGGATCCTGGTACTGTGTGTGTTTTTTTTTTTCTTGCTTTTGGGGTCACACCCGGCGATGCACAGGGGTTACTCCTGGCTCTGCACTCAGAAATCACTCCTGGTGGTGCTCAGGGGACCATATGGGATGCTGGGAATCGAACCTGGGTCAGCTGCGTGCAAGGCAAACGCCCTATCCGCTGTGCTATCTCTCCAGCCCCATGGCACCATGTTTTGAAGCCAGTTAGGTTGCTCCGCAGTGCGGGAGAAAAGTCCACGTCATGTTTCGTTCTGTCAGCCAAGCAGGTGGTGATGGGGTCGGGGGACGTGGTGATGCGTGAAGGAGAAGCCTCCGGTGGACTTCTGGGTGGAAACACGGGAACGCCCCGTGCCCCTCGGACCCCCAGACTATTTTCCTCGGCTGGGTCTGTGCTCATATGTTGAGGCCGTCGCTGGGTGGAAACACTCTGTGCTGTCTCATCGGTGCTGAGAAAGGCTCTATTTATGTCTCTTCATTTGTTCTCTGTGGGGAAAATGATGGCTTCGTGCTGGCCAGTCCTGGGGAGAAACCAGAAATCTGCTCCTGGGGCGGCCCCTCCCTCTGCCAACAAGTGTCCTGCAGTGACGCCCTGTCTGAGGCCAGCCCAGGGTCGGGCTCTTAATTATTCCTATCCAGGAGATGGGGTTGGGAAATGCGACCTGGGACTCAGACACCACCCAGGGGCCTGCGAGACAAGCTGCTGGGGCAGGTGCTCGCCTTGCAGCCTCCACCACCCTGTATGGACCCCCAGGGTGGTGGAGGCTTGCGCTTGAGTGAGCTCTGAGCACAGCAGCCCATGCGCAAACTCAGGCCCTCGGGAAACCGAGTTCCCGGAGCTCTCAGGCCTCGCTCGCCACGAGTTACCTCTGAACCCGTGGGCTCTGCTGAGAGTGCTCTGGGGATGACCATAGCCAGGGGTGGCCCAAAAACAGCCCTCCCAAAAATGTTTCCGCTTCTGAAGGAAACCAGGGTCTCTTCCGGGTCACCAAGACGCCTGCCGCCCTGATCACACCGCCTCGTCCTGCACAGCGCCTCGGGCACAGTGTGGCCTCTGCCAGCCTCCTGCGTGTGCATTTAACACTCACCGTCTGTGCTTCCGGGTGGCCAAAGTACCCCCTTTCTCTGCCGTTTCACCTTTTTCCTTTTTTCCTTTTTTTTCCTCCTAGATCTTCGAAACTCACGACTCCTCTTCACCTCTACAGGAAAGAAGCCTGAATATAAACAGTACGTATGTTTCGAGCGAAAACTCAAATTTAGAGGAACAGTCTTCGGGTTTTGGTGTTGGGTTTCGTTGTTTGGGGGGTCACTCCTAGCAGTGCCTGGGTTGGAACCCGGGCTTCCTGCATGCAGACAGTGTCCTCGGCCCTTGGAGCCGACGCTCCAGGCTGGTTTCAGTTCCGCGTTTCTGTTGCTCTCCCCACAGCTCCGCCAGGGGCCTGGAAGTTTGCGCTGCTCCGGGTTTCTCTCACTCGGTAAAGCACGTCCGCACGAGGACCCACACTCAGAAGGATGCGCCGCCGTCAGAGAAACTGAAGGGAGGAAGAAAGCGAGCTTGGTTCCCCTAGCGCAGTCTTAGAAAAGTTAAAAACAAAAATGGTCCCTTGAGCGTTCCCTTGGGCCACGCTGCGTCTCTGCACGGTCTGTGACCGGGCCCTCGGGAAACCCGGCTTCCCAGAGCGCTCAGGACGCGCTGGCCACGAGTGACCTCTGAACCTGTGGGCTCTGCAGAGAGTCCTCTGGGGATGATCGGCACTGTGCCCATGCACCGAGATTGCTGGAGTGGATCCAAAAGTCTCGAGAAGTGGTGGGAGGGAGTCTCAGTCCCTGGACATGGAAGAGGGTCTCAGTCCCTGGACATGGGAGTGCCCTATCTCAGCAGGAAGTGAGGGAACCTCATATTTCTGTGGCTTCCGTGGCCTGGGGACAGCATTACGCAGGGTCTGAGCCAGAGTTCAGCAGCATGGTACTTGGCTCGCGGGCATGTGACCCTGACCCTGACTCCCACCCCTGGCACCACAGAAACAAGGGTGGGGGCGAGGGCCACGGGTGGGGGAGGCTTGATTTCATTTTCCGTGAAGAAAGCAGGATACAGGGGCCGAAGGGGTAGCACAGTGAGGAGGGCACCGCCCTGCGTGCAGCAGAACCCAGGTTCGATCCCCGGCACCCCATGTGGTCCCCCAAGCACTGCCAGGAGTGATCCCTGGGCACGGAGCCAGGAGTAACCCCTGAGCATCGCTGGGTGTGGCCCCCAGACAAAAAGCAGGATACAAAATAGTGTGTTTGTCTTTCCTGCTTGGTCAGTGACCTAAATGCTCCCTGAATGTGCCTTTTGCTTTCTCTCTCTTTCTTTTCCTGGCCATACCCCGATCTTGGAGCGATAGCACAGCGGGTAGGACGTTTGCCTTGCACACAGCCGACCCAGGTTCGATTCCTCCGCCCCTCCACCCAGGAAGCTACTGAGAGTATCCCGCCCACAAAGCAAAGCCTGGCAAGCTCCCCATGACGTATCCGTATGCCAAAATACAGTACCTACAAGTCTCACAATGGAGATGTTACCGGTGCCTGCTGGAGCAAACTGATGAGCAAGGGGAGGACAGTGCTGTAGTGCTACCCTGATCTCAGGGCTCACTCCTGTCTGCACTTAGCGATTCCTCCTGGCCATGCCCTGTTTTTATCTGCACTCAGGGATTCCTCCTGGCAGAACAGGGAACTCTCTGGGCTGCCAGGGACCGACCAGGGTCTCGGCTGCGTGTAAACTAAGCACCTTACTGCTGTATTATCTCTCCATCCCAAAAAGTGTTAGTCTTTTTTAATCCAGTGTCTAATTCACTGGACAATGACGAGGCAAAAAAAAAAAAAGAAATCAAAATGATAATAGCATGTATCTCTATGAGGTAGAATTGTGGGTGGTTTTTAGTTTCTACATTTTTAAGGGGGTTTGTTTTAGGGCCACACTTGGCTCTGTGGTCAGGGAACCATGCAGTGCCAGGGATCGAACCCAGGCCTCTCACACGCAGACCATGTGCTCGCCCTTTCTTGCTCTCTCTGCGGCACACATGGCTTCTTTCTCTTCACTCAGCCCCTACTTTGCAAGGTTCTCTTAGGGGGCGGGTGGGTTGGGTTTAGTAGCTACATCCTGTGGTGTGCAGGGGCCAGCAGCAGGCGTGACCCCTTCCGCTGCTCAGGGGACCACAGTATACTTGACAGCTTTCTCCAGTAAGTCATTGCAAGCGGCACTCTTAAATTATGTTAAAAGGTTAGGAGGGAAACGGGTGACTTCAAGAACTAAATACATTCCTAAAAGCTGTTTTCTTTTGAAACCTTCCATCTATAGTGGATCCAAGAATCACTCATGAAAACATAGTTGAAAAAGAGAGAGTCCAAAGAGTGACTCAAGAAACTTTCGGAGATTATCCTCAACCAAGACTGGAGTTTGCCCAGTACAAGGTAGGCCTCCTCTGTAAGCACCAACATCAGCATCTTTGAAATGGGGGACAGGCCTAAGAAACTCTTCTTTTCCATGTATCACTTTAATTTTGTGTCACAAATCTCTATGGTAGAATCAGCTTCTTGATGATACTTCTAAGTTCCCCTGTGAGCAAGAGAGACCTTTGAAAATTCTGAATTTGCCTCGTCTTTTAGTTATTTTTTTTGTTGTTGTTTATCTGCTTTTGAGCCGCACACCCGACAGTGCACACGGGTCACTCCTGGCTCTGCACTCAGGAATCACTCCTGGCGGGCTCGGGGGACCATATAGGACACCAGGGTTTGAACCCCGGTTGGCCCCATGCAAGGCAAACGCCCTCCCTGCTGGACTATCGCTCTGGCTCCTGCGTGTGCCTTCACATTTCATCGTACTGACTTTGCTCTGTATTTGGGGAAAAGGGCGGCTGGCAGGGCACACACCCTGCAGTGCTCAGGGGTTTCTTCTGGCTCTGCGCTCTGGGATCACTCCTGGGAATGCTCAGGGACAGTATGGAGTGTCGAGGATCGAACCCAGATCAGCCGTGTGCGGGCAAGCTGTTCTGTCTCTCCAACCCCCTGATCTGTGGGGTTTTTTTTTTTTTGGCTTTTTGGGTCACACCTGGCGATGCACAGGGGTTACTCCTGGCTCTGCACTCAGGAATTACTCTTGGCGGTGCTCAGGGGACCATATAGGATCCTGGGAATCGAACCCAGGTCGGCCGCGTGCAAGGCAAACGCCCTACCTGCTGTGCTATCTCTCCAGCCCCTGTCTGTGTTTTTGAGGAAGAAAACTCAAAATAACTTTGTTTGAGGAACAAAACTTTAAAAAAAGCTAGACCTTGGGCAGCCCTTCCCCACCCGACTTTTCCCTCGGCCTGGCGACTTGCACATCCTGCTGGACGAAGCCTTCAGGGCGGGCCCCAGTAAGCCAGTAGCTGGTCCGCAGAGTGAGTGTCGCAGAGCTGGGTCCCGCGGCCTAGCCGGTGGGGGAAACAGGCGCCGTGACCCCCTGCATTGGCGCCCTGCTCCTCCAGCAGCCTCCTCCCCGCAGCCCTCCGAGACATTCTGCTCAGAGGGACATACTCTGGGTCAGCGTTCTCCCCGCCGACCTGCTAGTCCGGCGCAGATGTGCCCACTGCTGTGGCTGTGCCCCGTGACAGCAGCTGCGGGCATCTGGCACACGGGGCCTGGACCTCAGGTTTCAATCTACTTTCGTTTATGTGAGGGTTTTGTTTTTGTTTTGTTTTGTTTATGTCATCAAGTTCACTCTTATTTCTTAAGTGTGAAGACAGATACTCATTTTAGCTGTTTTTTAGCTATTGTCTTTCTGGTTCTTTGTTTCTGTTTCTATGTAAACATTTTAACTTTTTTCTTAACAAAAATGTTTCCTCTTAAGGCATGATTTATGTGGTTCATTGTAGCCGAGTCTCCACACCTGTTGCTCGCCCATCTCTCCTTCCCTGGCCTCCTTGTGTCTGTCATGTCGCAGCGAGGCCACTGCTTCCTCTCAGCAGCTCGCGTTCTGGGACGGTGGCTCTCAGAGGGGCGTCCCGGACCAGCAACTCCCTCATGCCCAGGGAATGGGGAGCGAAATGCTCGCCCTCCTGGTCCTCCCGATTCTGTGGAGGCGAGCCCAGTTCTCTGGCTCTCCAGGTGGACACTCTCCAGGTAGACAGGCCCAGCTGGGCCGGAACCTCCCTCTGAGCACAGTAGGGTGGCTTTGCGCCGTCAGTTATGCCGTTTATTCACACCTGCGGGGATTGTCCCCTCCCATTTCTATTTTGAAAAACGTCAGCCCTTCAGAAGACCTGTGAGGGGTGGAGCAATAGCACAGCGGGGGGGCATTTGCCTTGCACAGGGCCAACCCGGGTTCGATTCCCAGCATCCCATATGGTCCCCCAAGCACCGCCAAGAGTGATTCCCAAGTGCATGAGCCAGAAGTAAGTAACCCCTGTGCATCACTGGGTGTGACCCAAAAAAGAAAAAAAGAATTACCTGTGAGGCTGTGACAGGGAACATCTACTTCCCTGTCACATCAGGACCCCCGCTAACTTTCCGCTGCTCCTACACACTCTTCTTTATCTGAACCATTTTAGCTGCAGAATTACTCATCCTCGAAATACTCCAATATAACGTATTCAAGTGAAAAAAAAATACCAAGTACCTATGGAAGTATCCGTACGTGGACATTTTGATGTTTTTGAGGAATTAATAATTATTGGGGGTTGATAATACTGGTTTTTTATGAGGAGTATGGCTTGCAGCAGTCCTTAAGTCTTGCTCAGATACACACGGAAATGTTTACGCGTCTCTGGGATTTGCTTCAAAGCAGTGCACAGATGCGATAGGGAACGGGAGGTGAGGTCATGGCTGAGTTGGAACAAACAAGCGCTAAGGATTATGAACGCTTTTTTTTTTTTTTGAGCTGGCTGATGTGCCCGTGAGACTCATTATACTATGTTCTCTGCATTTGTGCATCTGTAAATTCCTCCCTAATAAGTAAAAAAGATATCCCTTAGTGGCTCCGAAGGCAGGACATTTTTACGTTGAAGTGACAGATTACAAAAGGCTGCATTCTTCTAGGTTAACAGTGCAGGGTAGAGGCTGGAGCGATAACACAGTGGGTAGGACGTTTGCCTTGCATGAAGCCGACCTGGGTTTGATTCCCAGCATCCCCTATGGTCCCCTGAGCACCGCCAGGAGTAATTCCTGAGTGCATGAGCCAGGAGTAACCTCTATGCACCGCCGGGTGTGACCCAAAAAAAGCAAAAAAAAAAAATTTAATTTTTTTTTAAATGTAATAAATAAATGATCACAATCACGATCATCCTGTTGTTCGTTGATTGCCTTGAGCAGGCACCAGTAACGTCTCCTTCGTCCTAGCCCTGAGATTCTTAAAATAGTGCCATATTCAGGCTCTTTCAGAGTTAGGAGAATGAGACCCATCATTGTTACTGGTATTTGGCATATTGGGTATGCCACGGGGAGTTTGCCAGACTCTGCCGTGTGGGCAGGTCACATTCGGTAGCCTGCCAAGTTGTCCAAAATAAGAATGAGATAGTAAGATGTCGCACGGCTGCAGATGCGGCCGGCCATGCGCTTCCGGGAGCTGGGTTTTAAAAGTCTCTGGGTCTTGGCCGTTGATGGGATTACACAGCGCAGGGGCTAGTTGGTGGGTGTGACCCCACCCTACTGGAAAATGGAGGATCTGGGTGGAGGATGCTCAGCCCTGATCCGAGCAGGCTTGGAGATCTCAGCCCCGGAACCCGCATGCCTTTGTTCCTCTGCCGGTACCTTCATGCGTGTGGAGACTGGTTTCAGCATGGTGGTGGCTGGTTCTGGAAGTCTTTGGCTGCTGGAGCTCTGCTCGGGGCAGGGAGGGAAACTCAGCCCACCCCCCTCCAAGGGGCCCCGGCGAGGAAGGCCAGGTGCAGGGGCAGGAGACTCTTTTAAAATAAGGTAAAGGTAAAGGTAAAGGCCCTCCTGTTGATCGTCGATTTGCTCGAGCGGGCCCAGTAATGTCTCCATTGGAGACTTTGTTGTTACTGTGTCTGGCATATCGATTCCTCCGCCCCTCTCGGAGAGCCCGGCAAGCTAATCGAGAGTATTCGATATGCTTTTAAAATAAATTAAAAAAAAAAAAAAACAGTGCAGGGTTGACACCGAGGCGGAGGGCACCGGGCAGGTGGGACAGCACATGCTTGGCATTTCCTGTGGGGTCTTGTCAGGGTACTGGCCACCCTCCCTGGGAGCAAAGCAGATGGTTCCCACCCCCACTAGTCCCTGTATTTCCGATAAGAATTCACGCACACTGTATCCTGATTCCTTTGTATTTTGCCATTCCAAATGACACATTTAATAATCATTCACAAACGTGTCTACTGACAGCTTGAAACGAAATTCAAAAGTGGAGGAGGAATCTTAGCTGACAAAGAAGAACCCCTCCGATGCCTGGTAAAGTTCTCTAGTCCGAACCTTCTGGAAGCGTTGAGATCCTTAGCACCAGCCGGTAAGCAGTCTGCGTAGAAGAATAACAACACGCCGGGTTCCATCCTTTCTTTACTATGGAGTTGCTTGTCCTCCTGTGCGCTGTCTCTTCCTGTCCCCCTTGACACTGTGAACTGACTCCTGGCTCAGCCCACCTGGTCATTTTCTTTCTTTCTCTCTTCCAGGTATTGCTGATGCACCTCTTTCTCCTTTGCTCACTTGCATACCCAGCAAAGGAATGAACTATTTTAAAATCAGAGATAAATAAGATGCATAGCTTTTCAAAAGCCCGCCTCTCCTCCGCCACAGTGCACACACATTTCAGTCAAAGATGGGCCGGAGAGCCTGTGCCCTAGAAACCCCTGACGGTGACAGTTCAGAAATGTCCGAGGAAGTGTTGGCACTTACTCCTCGGGGAGCCCCAGGCTCCGTCTCCCGTGCTGACGGCGGTGGGAGCAGGCAGCCGGCCAGCCACCGGTGCTTGTATCCCGGATCCCACTCCTGTCCCCCTCCTGGGAAGGTCCCATGCCACTGCAGCCCCCCAGGGATTCTCCCTCAAGCCTACGGGGGTCACTGGAAGAGGCTCCGAGAAACTAAATCAACGGAAAACTTCCTGCGAGGACCGTAAAATTGGCCCATTCAGAGGAATGATGAATTTCTGAAGGTCTATGAAGTTAGGGTTGCAGTTATGATGATCAGTCATGTAAAATAATGATTTTGTGAATACAATACTTTGCACAGCCTTTTTTTTTATCATATGTATAGCAGTCAAACTGACAAGTATTACATCCAGATTTGTAAATAAAGATTTAAAACTAGAATATCAGTTATTTTTGATGACAATATTTCAATGATCATGACTAAATTGTATGACCTTTTATAATATCTTAAAATCTCGTTGGAGAGAGTTCAGAGGGCTGACGGCCGGGTTGAAGCCCGGGTGCCACCTGTTCACTCTAGCACTGTCGGGAATGACCTCCGAGCAATGTGCCAGGAATAGTCCTGAGCACTGCTTGGATGAGACCCAAACACAAAACTAAAATCTGCCCCCTGTCTTGTTTCCCAAATTAGTTGGGGTCATAGAAACTTGTATGACAGCTCTTTCTAGAAGCTTCTAGAAAGCAAGGAAGCGCATTCTTGGAACCTTCAGAAGAAATGCAGTCCTTGAAGACCTGGTTGGTTAGTGGGGCCAGAATCCTCATGTCAGATGCATCCCCTCCAAATCTCCGCTAATGAATGGGTGCTGTGTCAGCCACTCGCCCTGGCTAATTGGTGGTAGCCGCAGTGGAACCCAAGCACAGTGGCCCATAAATAAAAAGCTGGACATTTTCACACGGGACTCTGGCACCGAGTCTCCCTGCTGTGGTCCCCTCTTCTGTCTGGACCGCGACCACCACAGCCCTCCCCTGACTTAGGTCTGGGCACCCAGCCCTGGACTCGCTGTCACCCCAGTCGTCACATTTCAAAGGTGGTCCAACCCTGCACCGGTCCACAGCCTCATTGGTTCCGAGCTCTCCTGCAAGTCGCTTCTCTGCAAAATGACAGGGGGGGTGGTCAGCTTTCGCGCTGTTCTCTGTGCAGAGGTGGACAGGGGAGGAGGGGGGGTCTTCCTAGGCCGTTGCTGGAGGTTGCTCGCTGCTCGGCTTGGTCTGGCTCTGCGCGCTTCGGAACCGAACCGGTGGCTCCGCCTGCAAAGCACGCGCCCCAGCCCTTCGGGTCCTCTCCCCCAAAACAACCCCGACTGTTTAAATGCTCTGCCAGGTGACAAGTGCGCGCGCCCCCCACCCCGGCTGGCTGGCGGGCGACCCCGGGCCTCCAGTACAAGCCGGCGGCGTCTCCCGCCCAGACAAGCCGGACAGCGCCAGGGAAAGCCCGCTCCCGGGCGCCTAAGGCTTGGAAGGGCGAGACCCCGACCCCTGGCACCCACTGGGGGGGGGGGGGGACCCAGACCCCGACTGCCCCCCTCCCCCCCAGCGCGGGCAGCAGGGGGCGGGGCGGCGCCGGATGCAAATGAGCCGGGCGGCCCCGCCCCTCCCGGAAGTGGCGGCGGCGGGGGGCGGGGCCTGCGCGGCGGCGGCGGCGGCGGCGGCGGCAGCCATGGCGGCCTCGGAGGCGGCGGCGGGGCCCGCGCCCGCGGCTCCGGGGGTCCCGGCCGCGGCGGCGCCGCCCGGGCGGCTGCGGGGCGCTCGGCCGCGGCCGCCCCCGCCGTCCGCGCCGCCGCCGGCCGCGCGCGAGCTGATCCAGCCGTCGGTGAGCGAGCTGTCGCGGGCCGTGCGCACCAACATCCTGTGCACGGTGCGCGGCTGCGGCAAGGTGCTGCCCAACGGGCCGGCGCTCAACATGCACCTGGTCAAGAGCCACCGCCTGCAGGTGAGGGGGGGGGGGCCGGGGGGGGGGTCGGGGGTGGGGGTCCGGGGGTGGGGCGGGGCCGGCGCGTCCCACCTGCGTGCGGCCGGTCAGCGCGGCGCGGGCCCGCCGGCCCCTGGGGGGGGGGGGGACCGTCCCGGGCCCCCGCGGGCGCCCCGGTGCCACCCTCGGCCCCGCTTCGTGCCCCCCCACCCACCCCCGCCGCTCGTGCCCGCATCCGAGCCCTGCTCCCTCGGCCCCTCGGGTCTCCAGGCACGCCCTGGACCCGGTCACTCCCCTGCCCCGCCGGGACCACGGAGGGAGGCGGGCGGCCCCTCCCCTGGCCGTGGACTTGGCCGCTCCGCTGTGGGTCCAGGCCAGGCGGGGGCTCAGTGGGAGGGCATGCGAGGGCCGTGCCGGGAGGGGACGGTCAGCTCCTCCCCTGGGCCTCGCCGGACCCCCCGGCCCGTACTTCGTGCCTTTCCGATTCTTTTTTTTTTTTTTCCTTTTTGGGTCACACCCAGCGGTGCTCAGGGGTTATCCCCGGCTTTGCACTCAGGAACCACTCCTGGCAGGGCTCAGGGGACCATATGGGATGCCGGGGATCGAACCCGGGCCGGCTGGGTGCAAGGCAAACGCCCTACCCGCTGTGCTGTCTGTCCGGCCCCCGGTCTTTCCAATTCTTGAGGTCTGTATCTCGTGAGGCTTTGTGAAGCATCTCCAAAAGATGAGCTTCTTGGGACTGCTGCCGGGCGGTGTGCAGACGGATGCAGGTATTTCTAGCTCAGGAGCTCCCGGGGTACTGTGTCAGCCCGGCCGGCCGAGGAGGAGCGGTGGATACCTGCAGCGGATCAGCCGGGTCTGCAGAGGTTTTACTAGAACCTCAGGGTCCCAGGTCTTCCTTGGCATTGTGTGGCACTCTGGCACCAGGCAGGGAATCTCTCTCCTCCGTCTGAAGCCTGGGGAAGACTCTTAAATTCAAGCGTTATTCTTGACACTTGATGTTCTCGAGGAATTAGGAGATCGGGAGCTCCAAAGGGTCTTAAAAGCAACCAGGTTCTGCCTGGCGCCAGTCTCAATAGATGTATTTTTCTTAAACCTGGGGTGGTGGTAGGGGACACACACACACACACACACACACACACACACCACCACCACCATACCAGACATCCACATGGAACTTAACTCCCACCAAGACGTGCCCAGCCTGCAGTTGGCAGAAACCTTACTGAAAGCAACACTCAGGACATAGATGGTCTGTGCTCTGTGCTCTCTCATATGTGTGAGAGGCTGTATTCTCACTGTAAAGCAAGTTTGAGGACAAAATGTGTCGAAAGTCACGTCTCTAGTTTGGTCCTGTGTTTTCTTGACAGCACAAGTTTATGTCATCTTTATATAAGAAGAGCCGTGTACAAGTGACCCGCGCAGACAGGCCCTCCCTGTGACCTGCACTTACTGAGTAGTTCTTTTATTCTAGTTAATCTTCAAAAAGTGCCCTACCCCCGACCGAACAGGCCCCTCTTAACATGAGCGATAGATTATTGTACCCCCCTGAAGGGTGATGGATAAAAGTGGAGAGTTTGGGGTTCTGAGGTGTGGCATCTATGCTGCCTCTTCTGTGGAAATGTCTGAAGTCCGTATCCTGCAGGAGATCTGGACATGTCCTCCGATTGCCTTGCCTGTGGGGGTCCATGGAGGCAGGGAAAAAATGAACTTTTTTTCTTTTTTTGTCTCCTCGTGTTTCGCCATGGGCTGGAGCAATAGCACAACGGGTAGGGTGTTTGCCTTGCATGCGGCTGACCCGGCTGATCCGGGTTCTATTCCTCTGCCCCTCTCAGAGAGCCCAGCAAGCTACCAAGAGTATCTCGCCCGCACGGCTAAGCCTGGCAACATTCAGGCCCATGACGTGTTTGATATGTCAAACACGGTGACAAGTCTCACAATGGAGATGTTACTGGGCCCACTCCAGCAAATCCATGAACAACAGGAGGACAGTGCTACAGTGTTTTGCCATACCCAGTGATGCTCGGGGCTTACTCCTGGCTCTGCATGCAGGAATTATTCCTGGCGGTTCTCAGGGGACCACATAGGATGCCGGGGGTCAAAGCTGGGTGGGCCACGTGCAAAGCAAACAACCTAACCAAGAAATGAACATCTCTGGTCATAGATTGTTTGAGAACATAGAGGGGGGACAGGAGGACCCCAAAGAACCTCTTATCCATCTGTGTTTTTAAGACACGGCATGGAGCAGTGTTCCTTCCTGGCTATGGGCCCATTTGCATGATTTTCATCCTTAGTCCCCATGGACTAACCCAGGGGCCCCATAAGGGACCAGATGGCCACAGTTAAGAAATGCTCCCTGCAGTTTGTGCATTTTATTTCAAAATTTGCTCTTAGTGATCAGCCACAAAGTTTTTCCCCCAGAGGAGAGGAGGTTCCAAGTTCTACAGACCATATAGTACCAAGAGTCCTGATATTAAATTATAGTAAAAAGAGGGGCTGGAGCAATAGCACAGCAGGTAGGGCGTTTGTCTTGCACACAGCCGACCTAGGTTCGATTCCCAGCATCCCGTATGGTCCCCCGAGCACAGCCTGGAGTGATTCCTGAGTGCATGAACCAGGAGTCACTCCTGGGCATCACCGGGTGTGCCCCAAAAAGCAAAAAAAAAAAAAAAGAAAAGAAAAAAATTATAGCAAAAAGATGATAAAGTAAGCTCATTTTCACAGTCGGCCTTCCCAAAACAAGAAGGCCTTTTTGCCAGTCTCTGCGTTCCTTTCCTTCCTTGCGGAGGGCCCGCAAAACCACTCTCCAGCCCACGAAGGTGGCCCTAGGATCCGTAGGTGCAGGGAAGGACCAACCGAATGAACACAAGGCACAAGAGACAGAGTATAGTTTAGAAATAGAGAGAAAAAGGGACAGACTTTATTGAGGGATACAGGCTGTTTATATAGGATCTGGGCAGCTCAGTCAGGAGCAGAAGCAATATAACCATATATGGTAAGGTCAGCAACAAGAGCTTTACCTAACATTCAAGGTAGACATTTGTACATCAAAGGGTCTTAGGGCAGTAGATGCATCCTGGAGGTTACTATAGACAAGGCCAGATAAGATAACTGTCAGCCTGATGTTATGTGGCTGTAGATCAGGTACAGGCTGAGATCAGGAAGCCCTGGGAGACTGTCACCAATGTCTGTAACATGGGAACCATGGCCAGGGTCTATGAGAGGGCTCTTGGCTTCCCACACTTCCTGCACAGTCCCTATTTCCCTACTGTACCCTCTGCTTGGGTCCTTTCTCAGACGATTCGCTTGTTTAATAAACATGTACCCCAAAGGACGCAAAGTGTTATATTTTGTGTCCATTTTTTCCAGATGTGTACACACGAGCATTTAAGGTTCTGGTGGGTTGGGACTCGGCACGTACGCGGGCTTCGGAAGAGAGCCGCCACTTTGTCACTTTGGTGATTGGGTTTCCCCCTCCCCCGCCTCCTGCTGCCCCACCTCCACATTTGGACTTTGGAACTGCCCCCAGCAGTGCTCAGGTGATTGCTCCTGGCTCTGTTCAGGGCCATTCCTGGTGGGGCTCAGGGACCACGGCCGGCCGCAATGCCAGAGGTCAAACCAGGCCCCATGCAGGGCAAGCATCCTAACCCTTGTCACCTCCATGGTCCTGTCATGGCCATTCTGCATCTGGACCAGCCACACTTTGAGCGTGCGCCCTCGGGAAGAGACAGCAGGATGGAGGCCCGGACACCCGCACGGAAGCGGTGATGGGGCGCTGAGTGCTGGACCCCCAGAAAGCAAGAGTCAGAGGTTGTGGCACCATGGAGATTATTCATGTCTGGTTGGGTTGTCTGCAGCGTCTCACCCTGGGACCGGATGCAGTTCCGGTGTTGATGGTCCCTTGACCACTGAAAATGTTTGGGGTACTGATAGGAACAGAGCTGTCACGGGCAAAGGGCAAATGAAACAGATTAAGAGTCCAGAAATTAGTTAAGAGGATAATGACAGAGTCCAAAGTGCGTGTCAGGACCTAAACTCTTAATGGTGACAATTGAGAAAGGAAGGTGAAGAGAGGCTAAAGACGTTTACGGAGAGAAGAGATAAAAAGCATCCAACATGGTCTTTCGTGGGTCAGTGGATAAACAGACTGTGGTGAACGGCTGTTACTTCAGCTTGAGAAAGAAGTGAACGTTCAAGCCCTGAAAAGACATGGAGGATGGGGCCGGAGCAATAGTACAGTGGGGAGGGCATTTGCCTTGCACGCGGCCGACCCAGGTTCAATCCCTGGCATCCCATATGGTCCCCCGGGCACCGCCAGGAGTAATTCCTGAGTGTGAACAGGAACAAGCCCTGAGCATTTCACCAAGTGTGTTCCACAAAGAAAGAAAAAAAAGACGCAGAGGAAATTTCAGTGCACGTGACTCAGCAGAAGATGTCCATCAGAAACAGCACAGTGTGGTCCCAGCTGTAGGACCTTCTAGAAAAGGCAGAAATGTGCAGCCAGTTGCCAGGGTTAAGGGGAATGGGGCTGCGGCTAAGTGGAGCACAGAGGATTGATGTGTGTTGTGTGTTCGCGTGCAGTGTGAGAAGGTGGAGGGGCGCCAAAGCCAGGACCTGGCACTTGCGGCGGCGTGCTTGACCCCTACTGACCATCCCACAGGACTCTTTGTAGCCGGGAGAAGACTCCAGTGACCCTGTAAAGATGACACCTGTCATTGCCGCGCATGTGTGTTACATTCGTCTAAACCCTGTGTGCGCCCCAGGAACGAGCTCTGGTAGAAACCAGACACCCTGGCTGATTCTGACCCGTCAGCGGAGGTCCGTCCACTGCAACAAGTGTGCCCCTCTGACTGAGGGTGTCAGCAGCAGCTGTTCGGAGACAGGATATGTGGGAACATGAGAGTTTGGAAAGGGTTAGGAGGATTGCTACCAGAATCGAGATTATGTCCGCAAGGAGCGTGAATTAGCAGGGACCCTAGAGCATTGCAGAACATTTGACAGCCTCGAGCAGAGAAGGGGGAGGGAGGGGGGCTGTCTCCACAGAATCCAAGAAGAATTGAACAGTGATCGGGTAAGTGAAGATTTTAGAATCTTTCTTGGTCCTCTCCCCATGTCATTCTGGAGTAAGCGAGATAGCCTAAAAGCGCGATGTTCTTGGGCTGATGATGACGTTGGGGCCAGGGGGCCGAGGAGAGCGGATAGATCGGGGTCTTGGGACTCAGGGGGCGCACCGGACTCCGCCAGATGCGCCAGATGTTCATGCTTCCCGAAGAGGCTCCTCTGAGAAAAACGTCAGTTCTCGAGATGACCCAAAGATGACGCGTCAGTTTTGGTCTCCAAGGTGAAAGTTAACAGCTTTGCTGGACACCCTCCATTGCCAACGTGACAACAATGGGTGAAGCTTGCTCTGGACTCGGGGGTCTGCACGCCACCCCTGCCACCACTGATGCATTTCCGCCCCCCGCCTCCCAGCCCTCCCGCCGGAACGCCTTCCGTAAAGTGCACTGCAGTGTCAGTGTTAGTGTCAGTTTTCTCTTCCTTGAACATCAAGGTAATACCAAGAAATAAGTTCTGCCCTTAAGTAGTTCGGTTGAGATCGAAAGTCTGAAAGAAAACGCCATGTCTAAGATAGCACACGTTGGTTCTGTCTTGGACTGCAGACCAGGAATAGATTTTTAGCTCTGGACCAGAGCCAAGAAAGGGAACGGTTTGATGAGGACGTGATCTGAACTGGGCGCCACACTGCTCCGCACAACAGAATCCTGAACGAGAAGCATTCGCTCGGGAGAAGTAAACTGACGCCAGGGTTAAGTCACCTGGCCCGGGTCACGCTCTGAGTCTGCGCCCAACTGGTTCCCAAGTCTCTCCTTCACCCACTGTGCATTCTGCCTGGAGAGAGACGGTACCGCGTGGGACGGGCGCCTCCGGGAAGGGCAGTCATGGGTGGGCGGAGTGGGAAGAACCGAGCTATGTTGGGAAACGTGAAGCGGCGGTCGGGGAGACAGCACAGCGGGACGGTGCTTGCCATGCATGAAGCTGACCCCAGGATCCAGGGGTTCCCTCCCCCCACGCACCAGGAGTGAGCCCCGAGCACTTCTGGGTGTGGCCCCAAAACCAGTGAGAAAGAAGAGAGGGTTCAAATGGCCAGTTGGAAGTATCAGGAGGAGTCAGGGGTTTCTTTTTAGCCTCTTGTGGCATTGGGTGGTTTGGACAGATTGTCCTCTAGTCCATCATAAATTGCATTGGTTTGCGGTGCTGCTTACCGTCTCCTTCTGTTCCATCGTAAACCGCGTCGGCCTGAGTGCCGTCTGGCTGCGGTTCGGCTCTGCTCCAGGCAAGTCCGGGTCTCGTCGTTGCTACCACCAAGTGCCACTGCCGTCTCGCAGCCCAGTGACCCCGGAGCCCATTTCCCTTGACGTTTTCCATAGAGACTACACCAGTCACCACAGCCGACTCCACAGGGCGCCTGATTCTTCTCCTTCTCCTCACCAGCACGTCTCCGGGCGTTTTAGTAAGGTCCTTTCTCACAGGTGTAAGGTGGGACCGCATTGTGGGATTGGTTTCATCTCCCTAATGATTAGTGAAGTTTAACAATTTTTTCACGTGTGTGAAGGCCATAGGTATGTGTGAGATTATTATATATTATATGTATATTCTTTGAAGAAGTTTCTCTTTAGATCGTTTGCCCGTTTATTTATTATAGCCATATTTTGCGTTGTCAAAATATTTTTTATTTAACATGAGAAAAAGAAACTAAGGCAACCATTTAATTTTGAATGATTTTTTTTTTTGAGCCACACCTAGCAATGGTCAGCAATGGTCAGGGGTAACACCTGGCTGCACTCAGGAATTACTCCTGGCGGTACTCCGAGGACCATATGGGATGCCTAGCATTGAACCCGGATCAGCCCCGTGCAAGGCAAACGCCCTATGACGATGAATAGATTGCGTAATGCAGGATTGTAAAAGGATAAACCCGTGTTGAATGCATTGTGGAATCAATGAGTTTGGGATCAGTGAAAGATCCTGTTGCTTAAAAATAAGATGAAAATAGCTTCTTTGCCTTCTAAATGTGTGGCCGGGATCCTGCAAGATCAGCATTGCTCTCGATCCCCAGTGAAAAAGCAGAGGCATTTTCGCCAGCCAGTTAGGAATTTCTGTCTTCCCTCGAGAAGGAATGTCCCAAGAATCCTTTCTCCTCCCAGCATTAAAGGGCTTGTGACTGTGACCTGTGGGGACCCCCCCACACACATACACACACACAGTTCCTTTAGGGTGAGGGACAAAGGCCAGGCTAGAATTACACTGAAGGTTACCGGGGTGTCTGGCCTGAGGTGTGTGGGCCCCTCGGGGCCACAGGACAGCAGGTTTAATTGTGTCGGGCCTAGTCAAAGGAGCGTTTTCCAGGAACTGAGACTGAGGCTCTAGGCCCGGGATAGAAAGGAAAGGAAAACTTAAGGATGATGCCAAAAGCTTGATACCAGAAGCTTGAGCCAAGCAGCTGCGAACATCATGCCCTTAACAAATGGAGAAGCTGGCTTTCTGCGCTCTCCATTTAGAAGGGGCAACGTAAATAAAATGGAGGCGAGATGTGTTACGGCTTGGGGGCCACCCCTGGCAGTGCTCGGTCTTCTGGCTCTGCGCTCGGGGATCACTCCTGGTGGGGATCAGCGAGCCATCTGGGTGCCTGGGATCAAGCCCGGGTCAGCCGCAGGCAGGGTAAGTGCCCTCACCCACCTTACTGTCCCTTCGGCCCCAAATGCAAGACTTTTTAAGTTTATTTTTAACAGAGTTCTTTTAGCTATAATTTACATACCACAAATGTACCCATTTTGAGGGGTGTTATTTTTTTTTTAGTGCATTTGCATAGTTGGGCAAACTTAACACGATCCAGTTTTAGAACCCTTTCATCACCCACGAGCAGGGACGGCCCTTGTGCCATCGTTCTCTGTTTTTGTCCCCAGCCTGTTCTGTAGCTGCTTCGGAAATATTTAAAGTCCTTTCTCTCTTTCGTTCTGTTTTGCAGGATGGCATAGTCAATCCAACAGTCAGAAAAGATTTGAAAACAACACCGAAATTCTACTGCTGCCCAATCGAAGGGTGCCCGCGGGGGCCTGCCAGACCGTTTTCTCAATTTTCCCTCGTCAAGCAGGTACTTGGCCGGTCCTGCATACAGATGGCGGAAACCCAGCGTGCCGGCCCCCCACTCCGCACTCACGGGCGTGGGGCAGAAAGCTCCCTGGGGAGGTGGGCTACGTGTGGAAGGGTGGGGCCCCCCACCCCTACCCCGCACTGGCTTTGGAGAGAGAAGACCGGGTTCAGCAAATGTGTGCTTTCCATCTTGCCTGCGAACTCAGAGCCATCAGAGGCACCAAGAAAACGCCTCCCGGGGCTGCAGCGATAGCATAGCGGGGAGGGCATTTGCCTTGCATGCAGCCAACCCGGGTTCGATTCCCAGCATCCCATATGGTCCCCCAAGCACTGCCAGGAGTAATTCCTGAGTGCAGAGCCAGGAGTAACCCCTGTGCATCGCTGGGTGTGACCCGAGAAGCAAAAAGAAAGAAAAAAAAAAACGCCTCCCCAGGGACCACCAGGAAAGGCAGCTGTGGGGGAGAGGAGGCCGCTAGAGTAACAGCCGTTTCCCTGGGGCTGCTCGCAGAGCAGGGCCCTGACTCAGCGCTGGGGGCCGTGGGTTGTCCCGCCGGGACAGTCCCCGCGAGCGTGTGCAGCCCACGGGTTCAGCCGGCTCCCGTGCCGTCCGTCAGGGGCCTGGCCGCGGCCAGGGCGCCGAGTTGCTGTGAGCAGCTGCCGCCTCTCACGCCAATCCCCGTGTCCCCCCAGCACTTCATGAAAATGCACGCCGAGAAGAAGCACAAATGCAGCAAGTGCAGCAACTCCTACGGCACCGAGTGGGACCTGAAGCGCCACGCCGAGGACTGCGGCAAGACCTTCCAGTGCACGTGCGGCTGTCCCTACGCCAGCAGGACCGCCCTCCAGTCCCACGTCTACCGCACCGGCCACGAGATCCCCGCAGAGCACAGGTGAAGGGCCAGAGGGGCCTCAGAAGACGTGGGGACCCGTCTCGCAGTCTCCACGCCTGTCCCGGTCCCCCCCCCCCCACCCTGACACCGTTCCCCTTGGCCGGTGCTTGAATTTCCCATCGGAAAATTTTCACTTCCAATATCCTTTCAGAGGCATGTCAGGTTGTTGAAGAGGTTTTACAGGGAAACGACTTCGTTGTAAAGGTCAGATTTATATTTGGTGTAATAGCTTCCCGCTTTAGAAATGACAAAAGTTGCATTATATAATCTGTTCGCTTCCTTCTGCGTGCAGATCCGAGTTCCAGTACTTAGAGCCTATAAAAATAGTCACGCTGCATCCTTCCCTGTTCACTTGTTTCTGACTACAGTAGGGGCCAGAGTTGCCCAAAAAAAAAAAAAAAAAAAAAAAAACGGGAAGGGGGGGCGGGATTTACCTTCCCCGGGCCAGCATCTGCTGTTTAAAGCTCTTGTTCTCTCGGGGCTGGAGCAATAGTACAGTGGGTAGAGCGTTTGCCTTGCACGTGGCCGACCCGGGTTCGATTCCCAGCATCCCATGTGGTCCCCCGAGCACCGCCAGGAGTGATTCCTGAGTGCAAAGCCAGGAGTAACCCCCGAGCATCGCCGGGTGTGACCCAAAAAGCAAAAATAAAAATAAAGCTCTTGTTCTCTCTTTTTCCCCAGGGATCCTCCCAGCAAGAAAAGGAAAATGGAAAGTTACCTCCACAACCGGAAGCTGTCCGGCAAGACCACCGAGTCGTCGAACAGCCAGCCGGGCCCGGGAGCCGATACTCAGGAACTCGATGCTTCAGACATAAAGCTCGTGGCCGCGCTAGCCGACGCGGGCAGCCCGGCCTCCAGGAAGCAGATTCTCACGGCGCCCCCGCGGTACCCCCAGAAGCTGCTTCTCCCCAAGCCCAAGGTGGCCGTGGTCCGGGTCCCCGTGATGCAGCTCTCCCCCGTGCCTGTGCTCGTGCCCGCGGCCGACTCCTCGGCGCCCCCGGTGCTGCTGGGCATGGACCACCAGGCCGCGGCGCCGGGCGCCCTGCACCTCCTGCCCCTGTCCATCGGGACGCTGATCCTCGGCCTGGACTCCGAGGCCTCCCTCAAGGACAGCCTCCCCCTCTCCAAACTGGTGGCGCCCGTCAGTACCGGCGTGCAGGTGAACCTGGGCAAAGCTGCAGCCGCCCTCTCCCCAGACCCCGGAAGCGCTGGTCAGAAGAGCAGCGACGTGCAGACTGACGTGTCCTACGCCCCGCAGCACTTCGTGCCGTCCGCCCCGTGGGCCGGCCCCGACTCCTCCGTGTCGGCTTGTTCGCAGACGGACCTGACCTTTGGCTCTCAGGTCTCCCTGCCCGTGAGTGTTCAGACCCAGACCCGGGGGCCCGGCACCAAGGCCACCGCCACCATCGCCGCGCAGACGGACGCGTTCCTCGACGTCCCTTTCCCGCCCTCTGGGATCTCCAGGGAAACCCAGACCAGCGCACTGCAGAGCCCAGCGGATGAGCGTGTCCACATGGACCAGGCTGTGATGTGTGGGGACATTTTTGAGACCGTCCCCCCGCCGTACGACGTCGCCACCGACAGCATCATCGGCGGCAGCTTAGTCGCAGAGACAGTCACCCATGATTTGTTACCTCAGGACCAGCCGAAAGCTTTAGACGTGGAAAAACCCGCACCCATGATGAGCTTCGGCGCACAGAACCACATCCTTCCTCCACAGAACATGACGGATAATCAGACCCAGACCATCGATCTGTTGAGCGATTTGGAAAACATCTTATCGAGCAACCTGCCCGCGCAGACCCTGGACAACCGGAGTCTCTTGTCCGAAGCCAACCCTGGGCCCGACGGCCAGCTCCCGGCCGGCCCGGCCCCGAACCCTGCCATCGACTTTGATATCGAAGAGTTCTTCTCGGCCTCCAACATCCAGACACAGACGGAGGAGTGTGACCTCGGCTCCGTGCCCCCAGAGCCCGTCCTGGAGTCGCTGGACATCGAGACGCAGACCGACTTCCTCCTGGCCGACGCCTCGGCCCCGTCCTACAGCTGCAGGGCCAGTTCCAACTTCCTGGGCCTGGAAATGTTTGACACGCAGACCCAGACGGACTTGAACTTCTTCCTGGACACCAGCCCTCACCTGCCGCTGGGAAACATCCTGAAGCACCCCAGCTTCTCCATGAGCACAGAGTCGTCGGACACGGAGACCCAGACGGAAGGGCTGGTGGCCGCCAAGAGCCTGCCGGCTCTCGAGGGCAAGGTGCGGCTGAACAGCGCAGAAACACAGACGGTGAGTTCCGGCTTCGAAACCCTGGGCAGCTTGTTCTTCACCAGCAACGAGACGCAGACGGCGATGGATGACTTCCTCCTGGCCGATCTGGCCTGGAACACGATGGAATCTCAGTTCAGCTCAGTGGAGACCCAGACGTGTGCGGAACTGCACTCGGTCTCCGACTTCTGACGGGACAGGCCCCCCCGAGGCGCAGTGTCCGGCTCCTGCAGGGAGCCTCGGTGTCGAACGCTCGACGCCGGCCGTGACGCGGGCACTTCCGCTCCTGACAGTTCTTTGCCTTTCGTACTTGTGAACATGAAATTTGTGTGTAAATGTGAGTGTATTACAACGTGTACTAAGTTGACCTCAACATGACTGTGTGTTGCCTGTGTTTGCCCTTTCCCTGCTTGTCTTCCCGACTTGAAAAGATTTTACATCTTAACTGAAGCCGGGCTCGCCAGCGACGGGGGCTCCCCACCGTTCCGTCCGGGCGTCCCGTCGGAAGCTGCTGTCTCCTGAGGGTGACGACACGTGAGGCTCCACCCCCAGACTCCAGGGTCGTGCCTCAGTGGTTCGAGACTCATGCTCATTCTTCGGGAAAACTGCCTTTCCCTCTAGCGACAGTTCTCCTGCCACCAGACCACCCCGTCTCCGCACACCCCATCCCTGGGACCGCCGTGCATGTCACACTTCCCTCCCGGGAGCCGTGTCGCTGTAAATTCCTGCTTCGAGAAAGGGCAGCAAGCGTGTGGTGTCCCGAGACCCTCCGAGTCTCGCCAGCAGTAAGCGCCCCCTGCCCCGCCCCGCCCCCACCCAGCAGGCAGTGAATTGTAGAGTCGGGCCTGGTGGCCCATCCACACTGGACAGTCCCTGAAGTGCCCCCACAGGCCACGTCTGCGTCCTGTTGCTCTAAATGTTTTTAACGCTAGCCCAAAGGACATGCCCCCGAAACGTCACTACACTTCTTCTAAGCTTGATAGGGCAAAGGTACAGCATAGTCTCGTGTTCCGTATACGTCGTCGTTCGAGAGTGACTCCTCTCCTCATCCATCTCTTTCCTTGCATAAAGACAGGTGTCGGTCTAACAAGGATATTTGTGCCTTGAGGATAGCACAGAGTAGCTCATTCTGGAAGGGGAGTTTGCGTGCGGTTCATTTTGTGTCGCGAGGGTAGAACCAGTCACCTTCCGACGAAATGAAGGTGCCGTCTCCGGGGCGCTCCTATGCCAGGAAGTCCCGGTTAGGGCCCAGCCTGCAGGAAAGGAGGATTCAGTGCGGCCTGTAAGGTCTTCTGAGTTCCTTCACACGTGTTGCTGAAGGCTAACGCCTCCAAATTCAGTCTCGGGGCAGAGCTCCTCGGTCGCTCACGCCGAGTACCCCAGCGTTGCTGTTCAGTCTCCAGATAATCACCGAGCGTGGGAATAACATATTCTGGGGAGATACACACTACCTGGTAGACAATGTGTGCTTGTTTGCTTTGGCCACAGTTGTTAGGAATTTGGGTTTCAAAACAAGCATTAAGCCTTAACTTAGAACTTTTATTGTTTTAGAATTGTCACTGCCTTAATGTTACAATATCTATTTAAGTGCTCCTGGTGAAGGAGAAATGCATGTTTGTTTATGGCTTTTTGTAAATATAAACGCAGTACTCTGTTGCTTTAATTTCTGTTGTTGTTGTTTCTGTGATGTTGGTTAATCAGGCCAATAGTTATTTACAGAAAAAACTAGAGCATGTAATAATTCTTTATGTACATGTAAAAGCTGTTTCCCCACCAAACCTTGGTTATCTGAATTGTTCTAAGATTATTTGTAAGCTCTGAAACTTAGTGATTAAAGAGAAGAAAGAATTCTTTGTTTCTTTATGCCAGTTCTTGACCTCATAATGTGACATATTTTAACTGTGTCGTTTTAACCGATTTCTATACACGAAATCCCTTTTTCCCGTCATGGAAAAGGCTAGTGAGGCCAGCTACACATGGGAACCCCCCATTCCACCTCAGCCCGCAGGAACCACCCCGAACACCCGATCAGGAGTAGCTCCCCAAAGATACCACATGTGACCCCAAAACAAAGGTTTTTCAGAAAAGTGACAAAATGTCCATTTTTGATACAAAAAAGTTTTAATTTTGATAAAGACTATATATCGGGACTTAACGTTTCAGAGAATTTTTCCCATGTTCTCACCAAATGTGACCATTAAGAAGAGGCGTGGGGGTGCTTTTATCTTTGTAAACCATGTGGTTCTGGCTTAGAAGAGGTATCAAAAAAAAAAAAAAAAGAAGAGGTATCAACCGAACAGCTTTTGCCCGGTCTCACCGAGCGGCAGGAAAACCAAGTCTATGTTCCTGATTTCCCTGAGATAAAGTCACAGTGGAAAGTTTCTGTAGACTTGCCTGAAAGATGCCTGTGAAATGGCTTGACTTTCCTGTGAATGGGATGACACTCGCACCCATGTTGGTGTTTGTGCGGTTGAGTTTTAATCGTGGTGGCAGTTTCCAGGGTGATAAGGTCATTATAATCCTTGATGGCTTCGGTTTTACAGTATTCATCTCACTTCCGGTCAAAACCTGCTCATGTAAACGTGCCCAGGATCGACTCCGAAGAGCTCTTGCTGGCTGATGGTATCCACGGAGCGGCGCTTCTCAAACCGTGCTCTTGGACTCTTCGCAGTGACCGTGGGACTTTGCAGGGAGTAGGGGTGAAGCCTTTGCAATCTCGAGCATTCGGTTTCTTTCCCTTCTCTCCGCGCCGTGTACGAGTCCTCTCCAAAGTGTCACAGCTTAGATGCGAGCCCAGGAGACACGTATTTCCAACTCCGTACTCACTGCCAAGCCCAGGAGTCTCTGTTGAACTGCAGAGTCCTCCTTGTTTCTTTTTCCTCCTTTGCTGTTGGGACACCGAGGGGAGCTCAATGGTCCCAGTTTTCTCTGGGAGATGCACTTCTCTAGGCGAGGTGTTCAGGGCTCTGGTCATACCTGCAAGGTAACCGCTCTAAAATGACAATGAGAAAGGACCTGAGTTAGTAACGCCCGCTGAGACAGATGCAGTGGTGGAGTCATCTACAGGAGTTTTGATGTGGAGATTGAACTGGAAACAAGTTTTGCCCTTGACACTGCAGACTGACTCAGAATCAACAGGAGACCTGGTATTAATCTGCAGATTACTGGGTTGGAGCAATAGCACATCGGGTAGGGTGTAGGGTGTCTGCTTTGCACTCAGCTGACCTGGGTTCGATCCCCAGCATCCCATATGGTCCCCCAAACATCACCAGGAGTGATTCCTGAGTGCAAAGCCAGGAGTAACCCTTGAGCATCACCTGGTGTGACAAAACAAAAAACAAAAATAATAATAATCTGTAGATTGCTGGTGTGTAGACGGGGTTCAGTGGAAATTCGGACCCAACCAGAGGTGCGAAAGGGCCAGGGAATGAAGTGGTCTGCAGGCTGATGAGTACCTTTAGGAAACTGGGTTTTCAGAGTGGCTGAAGGGCGCCCGACAACAGCTCACATGGATGCAGGATTTTTGGGTGGTTTGGAGAGCCCCAAGTGTCGGTCAGCAGTGCACATGTCTGAAGCTGCTCCCGTCTTACAGGAGGGGATGGTGATGTTTTTCACCCTGTCTGTCCGTGTGCAGCTAGACTACCTCTCCCTGCACCCTAGGGCAGCTCGAGCCTTTGGATGCCGACTCGATAAACCATCACTGCTCTGGATGGATTCTCCTCCCTGCTCGTCATGGCCATGCTCAGGGAAGAGACTGAGGGGAACTCCAAGCTCTCAGGACCACACTTGCCAGCTCAGAGCCATGAGTGATTGAGTGTCTGTTAGCAGAACTGGGGATCTCCCCAGGCTATGGGGCCTGCATCCAGCTGGCAGAGAGGAGGACTAATCCCTCTGCCACCAGCCTTCATTTGACCACATCTGCCTTTGGTCTGCCATCTGTGTCACTCTGGGCCCTGGTCTAGACACCCCAAGAAATCCCAGAGGAGGGTGGGGTCCCAGCCTGCGGGAACCCATAGGGAGATGGGCGAGGGCTTCCTGGGACCCAGGCCTCAAGTCTCAGAGGGCCTGAAAGCAAATCAGACTTGTGGCTCAATCCCTACAATGCCGGTAACTCCCAACAGAGGGCAAGGTGCAGAATAAAAAGACAGCTGGAAATTAGGGGCAGCCTCCCTGGGTGCAGAAGTGCCAAAGGTCTGTAACCTTGTCCTTTTGTTTTGTTCAAAAGTGTGAGTACAGGGGCTGGATAGCACAGCGGGGTAGGGCGTTTGCCTTGCACGTGACCGACCTGGGTTCGATTCCCAGCATCCCATATGGTCCCCTGAGCATCGCCAGGAGTAATTCCTGAGTGCAGAACCAGGAGTGACCCCTGTGCATTGCCGGGTGGGACCCAAAAAGCAAAAAAAAAAAAATAAAGTGTGAGTACAGTGAGCCACATCCCCAGTCGCAAACACTGCAACTCTTGCTGATGTGAAGGTGTCCCCTGGGCTGGGGCCTGGCATGCAGAAGCCCGGGTCTCACAGCTGGCACTGCACCCCGTCCCGACCTTCAGAAGAGCCACCCTCCGGCGCGTGCACATTCTGCCTGGGCGGCTTCCTGACCCCGGTCTCCACGCAGAGCTCCAGCCCCCCGAGTCCACTCTCGGCCCCTCAGCCCTGACTTAGCAGGCTGAGCTGCAGTTCCTCAAAGCTAGACACACACACCCCCCCCCCCCCGCACATATCCTTCAGACACAGGCAATCAGGTGGTTTCTTCATTCAGCAAAGATGTTTAGGATGAACCTAAACTTCGTTTCTAGACAACAAAGAAGCACCCAACGAGGGCTGGAGCGATACTGCAGCGGGTAGAGCATTTGTGTTGCAGGCAGCAGACCCAGGTTCGATCCCCAGCATCCCATCTGGTCCCCAGAACACCGCCAGGAGTAATTCCTGAATGCAGAGCCAGGAGTAACCCCTGTGCATCGGGGGGGGGGGGTGACCCAAAAAGCCAAAAATAAATAAATAAACACCCAACCTCAGGAGGCAAATATACCTTTGAATGACTGTTGTACTACAATCATTCTTCCATATCGGATGTTTTGTAAAAAACAAACCAACAATGGGGCTAGAGCAATAGCACAGCGGGTAAGGCATTTGCCTTGCACGCAGCCGACCCGGGTTCAATTCCCAGCATCCCATATGGTCCCCCGAGCACCGCCAGGAGTAATTCCTGAGTGCATGAGCCAGGAGTAACTCCTGGGCATCACCTGGTGTGACCCAAAAAGCAAAAAAAAAAAAAAAAAACCCAACAAGACAAACACCCTAAACTGACATCATACAAACCAAATGATGGAAAACAAATGTTTACATAGTCATTTGGTCTACCCTTTATTTATGGACTGGAAAGTCCAAAGTTCAAGTACAACCTACTACAAGTAAATTCGAACTACGGAGCTAAAGAGTAGCTCAGGGGTGGGGCATTAGTACAGAGAGTCAGGAAATCACCTTGCACGCAGCTGAGCGGGTCGGGGTCAATCCACGGAACCCAGTTATGGTCCCCTGACCTGATCGGGAGCGATCCCCGAGCAAAGAGCCAGGAATCAACCCTGAGCACTGTGGGGTGTGGTCCAAAAATGGAAAAGGCGGAGGGGTGAGAGTAGCTAAATTGCTATTAAAAAGGGGCTTCTCAGCATTTCCATTGCATTGTCATTTGAATTTAAAATATTACTGGCAGGGCTGGAGCAATAGCACAACGGGTAGGGCGTTTGCCTTGCACGCAGCCAGCCTAGGTTCGATTCCAGCATCCCATAAGGTCCTCCGAGCACCGCCAGGAGTAATTCCTGAGTGCATGAACCAGGAGTAACTCCTGTGCATCGCCGGGTGTGACCCAAAAAGAAAAAAAATAAATAAATAAAAAATAAACAAAATATGATTGGGGTCGGACAATAAATAGTATGGTGGGTAGGGCTTTGCCTTGATGTTGGACCCCCGGCCTCCCATGTGGTCCCCTGGGCCCAGGCACCGCCGAGTAATTCCCTAGTGCAGAGTCAGGAGCATGCTGGGTGTAGACCAAACCACACAAACCCCCAAAATACCTTATTTACAAATGTTAACTGGTTTATATAACTTTGGCTGGTGAAACAAGGGGCCAGAAGGGACCTGATTCCCCACATCTGTGTGAGCAACTGAGCCCCCACACACCTGGGCCACGGTAAGGCTGGAGCGAGTGGCACGAGGCCACGCAGCCACAGGAACTTTGTTAGGTAATTCCTTATTCTTTGGGGGGGTTGGTTTGGGGACCACACCCAGCTGGGCTCAGGGTTTCCTGCTGGCTCCACACTCGGGGATCACTCCTGGCACACTCAAGGGGCCATGTGGGGTGCCAGGGATGGAACAGGGGGTCAGCCACGTGCCAAACAATCTCCTTTCCAGCCCGGGAGTTAATTATTCTTAACTTGCTTCCTGAGACAGGCTTTGCAGAGATAGGAGCGAAAATGTCCCGACCCACAGCACTTGCATGAGGCTACGCTTCAGGCCTATGCGAGCTTGGGCACAGTATGACTGTGCATATAACATAAACACACGGTGCCCGGAACACGGGCAACATCAGGCGCCATCTGCTCTTTAGAGACACACAGCAGAAGCGTCACTTGGGACACTGAGAATGCAACGGATAGAAGACGTCCATTCACAGCAGGGAGGCGCTGGTCTCCTGGACGTAAGGGCAGACTACACGCAACCTCCGACATAGGACGGAATGGAGGTATCTGTGGAGAGGAAGATATTTCACCTTGGTTGCAGAAAGATCTATTTGCATAAGGGCGAGCGTAAAAGCAACGTGGTTCAGGTACTTGTGGAAAGAAAAACGAACCCAAGTAGCTCACAAGATTCGTCGACGACATCGTCTAAACAAGCCCAGGGGGCTCCGTGTAGTGGAAGGCCCTGGGGGAGGCAGAACAGCCCGGGGCTGACCTCAGAGACGCCCCAGGGCTTCCAGCGGGCCGGAGAGGTGAGTCGCAGAAGCCGTTTGGTGCGTTTGGTTCGTCGGTGAAGCGGCAGCAGCCGGCAACACAGGACCGCGTGAAGGGTTCGAGACTAAAGCAAAACCCGAAGGGTGAAGTTTAAGTTGCTCTGGTTCTTCTACAAAAACAGGGCAAGGGCGGGAGGGGAACGGGAAGTAGGGAGAAAGCAGGGCGGAGGCGAGGCGGGGCAGGAGCTGGCGGCTGAAGGTGTTTCCCGTGGTGCCGGTTCCCCGGGCGTTGGACAGTCGCAGCTCAGAGGAACCTGTGAGTGGAGACGGGAATAACGACTCTGTTCACGGTGAGAGACGGCAAGAGCGGCCTGGGGAACACTCCGGCCTCCAGGCCCGGCGCCCTGTCCTCCGGCCGGCCCTCGGGGCGCGCCCGCTTCTGGGCCTCGGCCAGCTGTCGGCCCTCCTTGGCTTTCAACTTGGCTTTGTGGCTCTGCGCGTCCTGATTCTTCAGAAGCCGCAAGGTGGCGAGGTAGCGGAGGTTCTTGGGCTGGGGAGGGCACAGGGGGACTTTCTCTGGCAGCAGGGCCCAGTGCAGGCAGCACGGCTCCGAGCAGGCCAGCAGGGGCGTCCGCGAGCCGGGGGGCGGGAAAGGCAGCAGGTCTTTGACCTTGAGGTGCATGGCCAGCTCCAGGGGGTGCTTCTCGCCTCTCCGGTCCCCCGTTTTCAACCCAAACGTGCAAGTCACACACTCCTCCTTTCCCACCGCCGGCACCTTCTCCTCCGGCTGGCAGCAGAGGCCCGCGCTCTTTCTGCCCAGGACACCCACGCCTTTGGGGGACGCAGCTTTCAGAGGGGGCAGCACCACCAGCGCCTTGGACACCAAGGGCTCGGCGGTGGCCGCGGCCCTGTCGGCGCCGCGGGGACACTTGGAGTCCTTGGCCCGGGCAGCCTCTGGGCTGGCCCAGTCCTCGAGGCACCAAATAAACTCTTTTATTTGCAGAGACTTTTTCTCGCCCTGACTACAGGTGGGTAAGCACATCTTGCTGACCTCCCTGGGGGCAGCGGCGGGGGTCGGCGGGCGTCCCGGAGACGGGCCAGGGCTGCCGTGAGCCTTCTCTGGGCCAGTTTCGGTGCGAGCCCCCGACTCCGGCTTTCCTGCCAGCTGGGCTTTAGCCTCGGCACCCCCTTGGGAGAGGCCGAGACAGACTAAGCAGTTGCCAGAACTTTCTCCCACCTTCACCTTCTTAAGCTTCTTCCTGGGCCAGATGCAGGCGTTTGGAGCAATCCTGCCCCAGCCCTGGACCTGCAACAAAGGGGGAAGTCACTCTCCGGCCGCACTACCCCCACTCCGGACACAGTCCCCGCGGCTGGCCCTCTTGGAGCTGGTACTCCTTGAAAGACTCTTTGAAGTGAGATTTCGTTTCTGCGGCATCAGACCCGTGATGCTCCACACAGCGGCAGGCACCAACAATTTGCTCCCGAGGCCGGGCCGTTGGGGCTGAGGCCCAGTAAGGCACAGGGCCCACCTGGGCTCCCTCTGGCCATGCTGGGGGCAGGGAGAGCTGGGCTAGGGGTCCCCAGCTTAGGGCCCGGCAGTGCTGCCCAGGGGCTTTATAGCTGCAGCGCACTCCTGGTCTCAAGAGCCACCGAGTGGCCCCAGCGCCCAGCATAAGGACAAGTGCTACTGACTGCGACTCCCACCTCCAATTTTTTTTTAAATCTAAATTAGCTTTATACAAAGCAAAAGTATTTATAACGATACTTGCCAGACCTGTACACTAATAATATTTAGTTCTAAAAGACTATGCCTAGTACAGCAGGTAGGGCGTTTGCCTTGCGTGTGGCTGACCTGCTTCAATTCCCAGCATCTCATACAGTCCCCCAAATACGGCCAGGAGTGATCCCTGAGCATCGCTGGGTGTGACCCCCAAACAATAGACAGAGAGATAAAAGACTATGCAGGGCCTGGAGTGATAGCACAGCAGATAGGGCATTTGCCTTGCAAGTGGCCGACCTGGGTTCGATTCCCAGCATCCCATAGGGTCCCTTGAAAACCACCAGGGGTAATTCCTGAGTATAGAGCCAGGAGTAACCCCTGTGCATCGCCGGGTGTGACCCAAAAACAAAAAAACAAAACAAAAAAAAAGGACTCTGCAGTGGTGTCTGTAAGTGTCTACTCCTACGTGATTCAATGTTTTCAGTCGTCGGTAAAATAAACAGGCACAGTACATGGCTCGGTGGCAGAGCACTCGTCCGGCATGTGGGAGGCCCTGGGTGAATCCCCTGCATTACAGCCCCCTAAGCATGGAGTCAGGGGTAAGTTCTGAGCACCAGCGAGTGTGCGCCTCCCGCTCACCCCCCAGAGAAAGCAAAGTCCAGCGACGTAGGAAAATAAACGTGGAGATACTGCTGGTGCCTCTGCCTCGCTGCCCTCCTGGCCCCACAGGCGTCCGGCTGCAGACTCGGAGGCTGCTGCAGGGAGAATGTCCCCAGCCCGAACCCGGACCCCCAGATCACCTGCTCGGAGACCACCGGCTAAGAGCACAGGAGTCACCCTCACCAAACCAGCCGGCTCCTGTCAGTGCGACTCAAGCTCGACTACGTGCCCTGTATTTTCACTCTGCAGAATTTAGAGCTTGGCATGAAAGAGCTCCGATGCTTGCTCTCTGCCAGCGCAGTGCTGGGCAGCTCCTGGCGTCCGACCCTATCCACAGCACGAGCAGTTAGGGAATCTGATGCCCTCCCCCCACCACCACCACCACCGTCATCTGGAAGGAAGCTGAGGGCCAGAGTGCTGGCACACTCAGGATGGGGCATTCTGAAGCAGAGGCCAGGGTGCGAACCTCCACAGCCTACTAGTCATCCTGCCCCTATCCCCTTGCCGCTGCTCCCCCTGACCCTCCCCATCATCTCACATGTCCAGCTCCCAAATGATGCCAGTCACTGTCACTGTCCTCCCATTGTTCATCAATTTGCTCGAGCGGGCCCAGTAACATCTCCATCGTGAGACTTGTTACTGTGTTTGGCATATCAAATACACCACGGGAAGCTTGCCAGGCTTTGCCGTGAAGGCGAGATACTCTCGGTAGCTTGCCAGGCTCTCCGAGAGGGGCAGAGGAATCGAACTCAGGTCGAACTGGTCAACCATGTGCAAGGCAAATGCCCTACCCGCTGTGCCATCATCACTCCAGCCCCCAAATGATGCATTAAATTAATCTTTTATTTTTTGGGGGGGAGGATTGTCTCCCAAGCAATGCTTAAGGGCTGCCAGGACCCTCCCAGTGACACAGCCATCGAGGCCAGCAAGTTGGCTCCAGGCCCAGAGGCAGGGCAGGCTGCATACAAGGCCAGGTGAAGGCCAGTTAAAGACGCTGAGGAGTGAGTGGGTCAGGGAGGGGCACAAGCCTGGTGTGTGCAGGCCCCTGGACCACACCCACACTGCTCAGAACAACATGCAGGCCAGCTCCCCTCTCCCCCGAAGCCACCCACACATTCTGAACGTGAGAAGCATCTTCTGGCTGGCGCGTCAAGCCCGGGGTCACCCGGCAACAAGGATTTCACTTGTTTGTCCCGACATTTCTTCACCTGCCTCTTCCCACTCTAGAGAGGCCCGTGTTCTCTCTGCAACACACGCTCCTTGTTCTCTCTTCCCTCACAATAAAATTCTCTTGCTCCACCAAAAGTAAAACAAAAGCAGCCGCACTTTTCCTTTTGTGTGTCTCGGGGCTACCCGGTGGGGCTCAGGGCCGCTCTGAGGCTGCTGTCCTGGGGATCAGCTCAAACCCCCAGGGCTTCCCACAGGCAAGGCGAGTGCTTGGGCCCTCTGAGCTACGTCCCCAGCCCACACAGCAGTGTTTTCTTAAAACATGGTCTAGTCTAGGTAATGCCCGCCTGTCCTTCACCAACTACAAAACCAAGATGACTGCCCTCCGACATCATGATGGATCTATCACATCTTCCAGAAGGGCAATGGAGAAGATTATTCATGACTTCTACTCAGATCTCTTTAATAGCCACGTCCACTTGCCCACACACCACATACCACATGATGGAGATGTCGTTCCCAATGTTCTCCCTTCCGAAATCCAACATGCCATCTCGCCGGTAAAGAAACAAAGAGCACCTGGCCCAGACAAGATCAGACCTGAACACCTGAAGAACTTACCATCAGTACTCATCAATACATTGGCTCGGCTCTTCACACGCTACCTGTCTGAATGCAAGGTTCCATCCCACTGGAAAACCAGCAGGACTGTACTACTATACAAGAAAGGAGACATCCACGACATTGGCAACTATCGCCCAATCTGCCTATTGTCTGTCGTCTACAAACTGTTCACTCGAGTCATCCTAAATAGGATTGGCAGAACACTAGATGAAGGACAACCATGCGAGCAAGCCAGTTTCCGAAAAGGATTCAGCACCATCGACCATATCCACACGATTACTAAGCTCACTGAGGTTTCTCGGGAGTTCAAGATGCCGCTCTGTCTAACGTTCATTGATTTAAAGAAGGCCTTTGATTCTGTTGAGACGGAAGCGGTCATGGAAGCCCTAGCCAATCAGGGCGTACAAACTCAATACATCAGGATCCTTCGTGAGCTCTACTGTGGATTCACTACCAAGATCTCACCATTCTACAAAGAAGTAATCATCCATATCAAGAGAGGGGTTCGGCAGGGTGATACCATTTCACCAAAACTCTTCAGTGCCACCCTCAAGAACATCATGCGACGACTGGAATGGGAAGGAATGGGAGTGAAGATAGATGGTCGGCAACTACACCACCTCTGCTTTGCTGATGACATTGTTTTAATAACACCAAACATCAGCCAAGCGGCACAAATGCTGAAAGACTTTGCCCGTGAATGTGGAAAGGTCGGACTACAGTTGAATCTTACGAAGACAATGTTTATGAGAAACAGCCTTGTTCCTGACGCTCCATTCGCTCTCAACAGAACCACCATCTCCGAATGCAACAGTTATATATACCTAGGTCGAGAAAACAACATGATGAATGACCTGGCACCTGAGTTGCGCAGGAGGAAGAGAGCGGCTTGGAATGCCTTCAAGAACGTTGAAGAAATAACTAAAAGGACAAAGAACCTCCAGCTACGAGCACATCTCTTTGATTCCACTGTTCTTCCTGCATTAACATATGCCTCAGAGACCTGGACCCTACGAAAACGGGATGAGAACGCTATTCGGGTCTCTCAGAGGAATCGAAAGAACTATGCTTGGAATATCATGATTCACTCAAATGAGAGATAGAATCCGGAGTTCTGATCTTCGTCAATGCTCAAGAATCAGGGACGCTGTCTCATTTGCCAAGACATCAAAAATCAAATGGGCTGGACACGTAATGAGGTTTACAGACAACCGCTGGACTAGAGCCATTACTGATAGGATTCCACGGGACATCAAAAGATCACGTGGACGCCCACCTACAAGATGGTCAGACTTCTTTGTCAAGACCCTGAATGATCGGTTTGAGGCTCTGCATGTTCCTAGAACGAACAGATACCATTGGGCTATGCTAGCACGCAACCAGGATGAATGGAGACGTTACTGGCGCCCGCTGGAGTAAATGGATGAATAAGGGGGATTAAGTGATTAAGTGATAAGTGATAAGTGATGGTCTAGTCCACAACACCCAAAAGGAGAGAGAGAGAACAAAAGGGAATGCCCTGGGGCTGGAGTGATAGCACAGCAGGTAGGGCGTTTGCCTTGACGCAGCCAAACCGGGTTCATCCCAAAAAGAAAAAAAAAAGGGAATGCCCTGCCACAGAGGCAGGGTGGGATGGGGGGGGGGGATGGGGGGGGTGGGAGGGATACTGGGATTAGTGGTGGTGGAGAATGGGCATTGGTGGAGGGATGGGTAGTCGATCATTGTATAACCGAAACCCAAGTACAAAAATTTGTAAGTCTACAACTGTACCTCATGGTGTTTCACTAATTAAAAAAAAAAAAGAAAGAAAAAAGAAAAAAGAAAAACCATGGCCTAGCAAGTGCTTGGGCCTACGTCCGAGTCTCTGTTCCCACTAGACCCCTCGGGGCCCACACAGAGGTTGAACCTCGGCTTCCACTCTGCCATCACTCCCAGTCCCTCAGGGAGAATGTTCCAAAGTCATGTTCTCATGCTGGGACGGCGACTCAACGCAGGGGCTCTGAGTGGGAGAGCCAGCACAGGCCATGGGACTTAGAAGTCTTTCTAACTAGGCACAGAGCCTTCTATGCTCCGGAAGTTTCATCCGGAAGTGGAACTCTGGAGGCTAGATCCCGGGTTCTATCCCCCGCACCCCAAATAATTCCAAAGTGGAACTCTGTGGGGTCAGGGCGATTGGTAGCGACTGATTATGGGTAGGGGGCTTGCCTGGCATATGGGTGGCTCAGGCTCGATCCCCAGCACCCCAGATGGTCCCCCAAGCCCCAGAAGTAATCCCTGAGAGCACAGAACCAGGAGTCAGCCCTGACTACACCCAGGGGTGGCCTCCCAACAAAACAGTCACAAAAATAAACCCACAGGATTTGGAGCAAGATCGTGGGTCAGACTCAGGGGTCTGGAGGAGCCCCAACCACCTGCTGAGGGGATCCCTGGCACATGGTTTCACCTTCTGTACACTCGGAATCCTTGACCAGAGGGTGGCTGCTGCGACCAGGAAGCAGACCTGTGGCAGGGCACTTGCCTGGCACGTGTGAAGCATTTAGTACCATGAATACTTAATAAAAGACAGTGTTGGGGTCAAATGGAATAGGTCAGGGACTGAGATCCTGGCCCAGGGTCGATCCCTGGCACCCCAGATGGTCCCCTCAGACCCTACCAGGAGTGATCCCTGAGCACAAGGCCAGGAGTAAGCCCTGCGCATAGCTGGGTGTGGCCCGAAAGCACCGCGAAACAAAAAGGCAGTGCTGTTCTCATTGATGTTACCTCCACTCCGAGGGTTCCTACACCACACTGTTCACAAGCACTGAACCAAACGCTGCCACAGACTAGATCTAACTCAAGACGATACTCACTGCTTCTTCCCATCCCGTGCCGATCACAAACTCCTTGGCCTTCATATCTTCCTCAAGCGTAAGGGCACTGATGTTGAGAAGACAACAAACATGGTTCTTTTCGCTGCTCCCATCTGGACAGGCAGAGGTTAACACGCTATCCTCTCCGCTTAGAGAGTCATTATTGCCACTATTTTCAAACTCAGTCTCATGTCTCTGAAAGATATCCATCACTCTAAGAGCTGCTGAAAGTTTCTAGTAGCTTCTTCCTGTTGTTGGAAATACAACTGAATTTAGTTGATTTGTTGGAGGGCAGGGTTGACGGGCCTTGCCCAGCATTGCTCAGGGGTCACTGCTGGTGGTGCTCAGGGGACCACATATAGTGCCAGGGATGAAACCGGAGTTGGCAGCATGCAAGTCAGGTACTCCAGAGCCACGTCTTTAAGACACATTTGGGGAATGGAGAGAGAATACAGAAGGGAGGGCATTTGCCTGGCACATGGCCAACTTGGGGTCGATCCCTGGAATACCACGTGGTTCCCAGAGCCCCACCAAGAGTGATCCCGTAGTCAGGAATAAGCCCTGAACACTGCTGGGTGTGGCCCATTTTTTTTTTAAGACACATTCAGGAGGAGACAAAAGGAAATTACAAACCAATCAATTGCAATGCAAGAACTGACATAAAAGATAAAGCTAAATTCAAGTGACAACTGCGGTTTAATAAAGACCAAAGCTGGAGCCAGAGAGAGGACAAGACCTCACAGGCTGTCCTCCTTGGGAGAAAATAAAAACCCACACACAGTGCTTGTGAGAATCAAACATGCTGTAGCCACATTGGAAGACTACTTAATTCTTAAAAAAGTGGAATATACAATGACACATAATCTCATCATTTTAACCTCAGAACCAAAAATAGGCATTTAGTTATTGGGCTTGGGGGCCACAACTGGTGATGCTATTCCTGGATCAGTGCTCAGGGGTCACTGCAGGTAGTGCTCACTGAACCACAAGCAGTGCTGGGGATTCAAACCATGTGTAAGTCAGGCGCCTTTCTGACTTCCAAAAACAGACATGTAGAGTCTGGAGAGACAGTCCAGCAGACAGGATGTTTGCCTTGCAAACAGTCAACCCAGGTTCGATCCCTGCCACTGCCATATGGACCCCCGAGTTCCACCAGGCGTAATCCCTGAACAGAGAACCAGGAGGACACGCTGAGCACTGCCAGGTGTGGCCCGAGAAACGAAATAAAACTTAATAAAACTAACTGTTGGGTGGGGCTGAAGCAATAGTACAGTGGATAGGGCATTTGCCTTGCACGCAGCCAACCCGGGTTCGATTCCCAGCATCTCATATGGTCCCCCAAGCACTGCCAGGAACCAGGAGTAATTCCTGAGTGCAGAGTCAGGAGGAACCCCTGTGCATCACCAAGTGTGACCCCAAAAGCAAAAAAAAAAATACCGTTAGGGAGGTTTGAAGACAGCTCAATGGGTAGGCACAGATCTAGCACACACCCAGTTGGGCTTCGTTCCCAGCACACGGTCCCTGAGCATCACCATGTGCGGCTCTGGCCACCCCGAGCACCACTGGGTGGGGCCCTGGAAGCCCTCAGAGGCCCAACTGGGCCTGGTGATCTCCCCACTGTGGGCCGCGCAGAATCCCATCCTCGGGCCCTCACACTGAACAGCCTGGTGGCAGACACTCCCTGGCAGGGCTCCAAGAAAGCCAAAACCCAAACCCTGCAGCCAAGTTCCACTTCCTCGGCGCTACAAGCACTTTGCCGATCCGTCCCAAATACCTGCCTTACTGAACAGGGTTCGTGTATTTGGCGCCTCGTGACTGGCAACTAAGAAGCATCTCCAGGTGGATGAACACAGGACCCGTGTCAACGGCCTGGTGCTGCACACCAGAATGCCCTGGAGCAGGGATCCTTCGCGAGGGCTCAAGACACTCCGCTGCTGGAACAGATGACTGTGGCCTTTGCCTAAGGGGAGGGGAAAAGCCAGTTTAGGGGCCGGGCGGAGCCTCCTAATGCTGTCTCCCTGCAAATGCGTCTGCCCTTCACGTTTTATTGGCCCATTCATTTTGATGTATACCTTATATAAGAGACCCCTAGGGGCTGGAGCGATAGGACAGCGGGCAGAACGTTTGCCTGGCACGCGGCCCACCCGGGTTCGATCCCCGGCATCCCACCGGGTCCCCCAGCACCTGCAGCAAACTTCATAGCGAAAAGGGTTCTGAGGTCACTGTTATGGGAGGGGTTCGAGAGACGGCTCGGGCACCACGGCTGCACGGCTGCTGACCCGCAGTCCACGCACGGAGCCTGGGGCGCACCCGCGTCCAGCCGCACGCCCCTTACCTGCCGCCGCGTTACCCCGGACCGCAGAGCGGTGGGCCGGGGCCCACGCGCGCCGCCGCGCCGCCCCGCCCCGGCCGCCTGGCCCCGCCCCCGACACGCCGCCCAATCCGCGCGCGCCGCCGCAGGCCCCGCCCACAACGCCCCGCCCACAACGCCCCGCCCCGCCGCTCGCCGCCGCTCGCCGCCGCCTGCCTCTCCTCGGCTCCCCCGCCCGGAGCGCAGCTCCCCTCTCTCCGCCGGTGGGGTGTTCTGGGGGACGGGGGTTTCCCCGTCGGGGGAAGCGGTCGCCGCCGGGGTGTGAGCCGCAAGGGACCCGGAGAGTCACTTAATCCCGCCCGCGGCCGCGGGAGGCAGTTGCCCCGGGTTACGGACGCGCCGGGGGCGGGCCCGAGGAGCGGCGGGTGGTGTCGCGCGGAAGTGACGTCACCGCGCCGCGCAACAAAGCCGGGCGCGGGGGTCCCGGCGGGCCGTGCGCGCGCCCGCGCCCGCTCCCGCGCGGGAGGAACCAGAGGGACGACCGGCCACCTGCCACCCTTCTGCTTAGGCCGCAGAGTACGCGCTTGGGCAGCAGTTGGCATCCCCCCACTGCCCCCCAGAAGCCAGACGACGCGGCCCACCAGGCCCCCGCCCGGTCACCAGCATAGCGGGGTCCTCGCGGGGGTCGGGCTCTGCCTACTTCCTGCAGGTGTTCAGATATGCCATTGATCATGGGAATACGGTGATCCTTCCCTCTTCCTCCACCAACAATCGGGAGTTCGCCTTGCTTCAAGGATGCTTTCCTTCCCCTTTGGTTTTCTGGATCACACCAGTCGGTGCTAAGAGCTACAACTGGTCCCGTGCATGGGGTGGGGGTGAAACCGTGCAGTGCTGGGGTCTTCTGCATGCAGAGCATGTGCTCAACCCCTGGAGCGCTCTCCAGCCCCAATTAGAGGCTGCAATTCAGCCACTAGGAACACTGTTCGGCACCCTCAAAATGCTTCATCTGCAAAACTCACTAATCAGTACCTCAGCCCCGAAAGCTCTACTTTGTCCACTCCTGTTCCCATGACTGCAGTCGGGACCGAAATGTGGTTTGACTTTATGGAGAATGCCGTGTGACATGCTGATTAAACACTGTCACCTCGTTTTTCCTCTTCTCCTTTGCCAACCCCAGCACGCTAAATTACAACTTGGCAAGAGTGACCAGAATCACTAAATAACAGAAAAAAAACAAAAAAACATGACTAATGAAGTTGAACATTTTATTATTCAAGTGTTCTTATTTTCCTGCAAGGCTGTTGCTTCATTGTATAAAAATAGCACCAGCAAAAACAGAACATTGCAAAACTAGGTTCATCTAACACTGCCCACCTACAACTTTTCTACGCCGCCAGATCACTTAAGTATTTCGATCTAAATCCAAGAGTGTACGAAAGCAAATTACACTGGTGTTGTGGGAAAGGTGCGTGTAGTGTTCATTTGCAATCCTCAGACAGTTAGGGGCATTTTCTTTCCAGCTGCACTGTTGCAAGTAGCTTTTCCACTGCTGTTGTATTAATCTTCTATCCACCAGTAATTTAAGACGACTATGCTAGATTACGTGTTTTCATACTGGTTTATTAAGGGGTTTCATTTTCACTCCTCAATAGATTTTATGTATTTCTCATACGCTTCTTCACTCATCAGTTCATCTAGTTCTGAAGGGTTACTCAGTGTCATCTTGATCAGCCAACCTGCAACCAAGAAAGTATTTTATACTGCAGATTATCTTTAAGAGTAAAAGCCAAGGGGCTGAGTGATAGGACAGCAGGTAGGTACTTGCCTTGGAAACAGCCAACCAGGGTTTCGATTCCTGGTACTACATATGGTCCCCAAGCCCCCACCAAGAGTGATCCCTGAGCACTGCCAAGTGTGCACCCCCGACAACAAAAAGTAAAAACCAAGAACATTCAAAATCAAAATTAAGGGGCCGGAGCGAGAGCACAGCGGGTAGGGCGTTTGCCTTGCCCGCGGCAGACCCAGGTTTGATCCCCAGCATCCCATATGGTCCCCTGAGCACTTCCAAGAGTGATTCTTGAGTGCAAAGCCAGGAGTAACCCCTGAGCATGGGGTGTGATCCAAAAAGGGAAAAAAAAATTATGTTCTCAGTACCTCAAAAATAATTTAGTGCTGGGCAAGAATACAGTGGGCAAGGCAATTCTTTGCACATGGTCAACCTGAGTTTGATCCTCACATCCCATATGGACAGGAATTACTCCTAGTGGAGTAACTCCTGAGCACCACCGGGTGTACTACATTAAAACAAACCCAAGAAATTTGTGTTCTTTGTATAGAACAATCATGGAACTTTAAATTTTAGCTTTTTAAGAAATAAACATTCTTTTGTAACAGAATTTAAGAGATTTAATTACTGTCAGAAGAGATTGTTTTTATTTGTGGGCCACACTTGTGTGCTGCTCAGGGGATCCACATGTGATACTGAGTTGACCCCATGCAAGATCCCACTTTACCACCTGCCCCCCTTTAACAAATGAAAAACTCGAAGTGGCCCAGAGAAACAGCTCAAAGGACTCAGGCACATTCTTTCCACGCAGGAGCTCGGGTTTGGTCTCTGGCACCACATGGACCCCGCGTAACACCGGGTAAGGCTGGCTCAGAAACTGAAGAACTCTAGAGGGACAGAGGTGCTCCACGGGTCCCCAAACACCGAGCGGGAAGCAGCGCCGAGGAAGGCCAGGCGTGGCACAGAGACCAAAGTCAAACGTAAAGCAAAAGCCAAGAACTCCCCAACTACAACCAAATCCTGATTTGTACTGACTAGTTGTCTGTAGTAAATCTGTAGCTGTCTGGTAAACCTGTTAAGGCCTCAATACGTCTACAAAATAGAGGTAACTGC